TTGCTCCTAGACACAATAATTGGTACAATCAGTGATTAATACAATTTGCTTTACGTTCCACGCAGACATTTACTAATTGTTTCTGGGATCCCGTTCCTGTTCAAGCAACCTGATCAGACTTGCTCCCTGTTCTTGTCATAACTTTGTGATTTATAGCCTATGCATCCCGAGAACAGATGACTGGTTAAAGAAACTCTGGTACATTTACACAATAGAGTACTATCTAGCTGTTATAGCCTATGCATCTTTGCCCAGATTCTACAATAGGTCACTCATATGTCCTGCCTCTAAGTTTCCTGCTCAACATGTTCTTGAGAAATCAGTCACTGGTGATTTCATACTTGTACAAATGTCAGAGTGCATACGACCAAACCTACATGACAAAATCAACTCTGTACCTATGGTGAACTTTGGAGAGCACTATTTTTGAATGTTATCCATCATTGATCAAAATGTCATTAAATAACGCATGACTGTATAGTGAAACAAATTTCAATCAGTACCAAAAGTGAATGATGGAAGTCTCTTTTTGACCTCAGATATTCTGTGCTTAATTACTGAGGTTTTTTCAGAAATTTTTCAATTAAGTAAGCAAGTGTGCAAGTATACAGTGTTTCTATTATATAGTACGCCCCTTACCATGTTTTAATTTTTATTGTTCTGGGTGCTACACCCAGCGGTACTCAAGGCTTACTCCTTCTCTGTGTTCAGGGATCACTTCTGGTGGGCTCAGGGAAACATATAAAGTGCCAGGGATAGAACCGGGTGGGCCACCTGCAATGCAAATGTCCTACTCACTGTACCATCTTTCCGGCCCTGAGAGTTTTATTTTCTAAGATTCTTTTACTTTGGTCAATCACAATTTAAAAAGTATCGATTTGCTCGAGCAAGCCCGGTAACGTCTCCATTGTGAGACTTCTTGTTACTGTGTTTGGCATATCGAATATGTCAGGGGTAGCTTGCCAAGCTTTGCGCTGCCTGCGAGATACTCTCGGTAGATTGCTGGGCTCTCTGAGAGAGGGGTGGAGGAATCAAACCTTTTAAAATCTTATCTCGCCGAAGGTTGTGTGTTCACGGGCTCACTGGATGGCTCTCTCTCACTGCCTGCGTTTGGTGCTCTTGAGCCCTGTGTGTGGCCTGGATCAGGACGGATGTTCTTTCTCTCAAGTTTGAGCCCCTCTCACTCTGACTCTCTCCTCCCCAAGCTTACAGTCTTAGTTTATATAGCAATCACGTAAGGCAGTGACATAAAGGTGGGTTGAATATTGACAAATCAACAAAGAGAGGTAAGACCACTCCTCCAGGAGATTAACTCAAGGATAAAATCTCATCTAAAGAGATTACTCCAGATTACTAGGAGATCTGCTCAAGGGTGGGATCCCAACAAGGGTGTGTTCTTCCTTCAGTTAGTAATCTACTTAAATAGTTGTAATAAGTCTACTTCTAATATTTCTAGCAATGTCATTCTGTATGAGCACAGTAAGAGATATAAATTTAGTTTGGTTCTTCCTGAGAACATCTCACTATACATTCCGCAGTCCTCAGGCCAGGTTAATCTTCCTAGCTCCAGCAGGGTCCTAGTCTCGTCGTTACTTACTTTTGGATCATGACAGCATTTGTCCATGATCATGCCCTCAACTTATAGTTGAGTATCGTGGCGCTTTGGCTTGGCCCATTTCGATGCCAGGGTAGTTCACAGCTTGCCCTGGGTCCATTCCGTCCCTTGTTGGGACCCTGCTTTTGGAGTGCTAGGAACGAAGGGCAACTGAGTCAAGAAATCAGATGCCCAGGAGTAAATATTATTCGGAGTCAATCAACTCCCAAGTTACAGAGCATAATATTAACTGTCTTCATGTGTCCATACAGAAAGGACATTGCTTACAAACAAGTTCAGTGTCCTTAGATGGGTGTGACCCAATAAACCTAAGGTACCTGAGGAAAGACAAAACAGTGTTACCCTACAGAACCCGGCTCAGCCGGGCCAGCCACACACAAGGCAAACGCCCTACCACTGTGCTATTGCAGTAGGCTACATTATATTTTACTGCACTACATTATTACAGTAAAGTAAAGTAAAGGCCCTCCCACTGATCATCAATTTGCTCGAGCGGGCCCAGTAACGTTTCCATTGGAGACTTTGTTGTTACTGTGTCTGGCATATCCAATACTCTCGGTAGCTTGCCGGGCTCTCCAAGAGGGGCGGAGGAATCGAACTGGGGTTGGCCATGTTGGCTGCGTGCAAGGCAGATGCCCTACCCGCTGTGCTTTCGCTCCAGCCCACATTATTACATTATTATCTCACATTATTACATTTTAAAAATATTTTATTCTTTGTGTTTGGATGTGGTGCTGCGGATCAAACCCAGAGCCTGACACATGCAAGGTGATCAATCTTCCACTGAAGCTCATCCCCAGCTCTATTTTATTCTTAATTATTATTGTTTTGTTGTTGTTTGGGGGTCATGTCCAGCAATACTTGGGGCTGACGCCTGACTCTATGCTCAGGGATTGCTTCTGGTGGTGCTCCGGGGACCATATATGGTGCTGCCATAACCATGCAGTTAACTTCTTATACTTGTAGCACTTAGCTTGTCTCCTTTCAATGCGAGGAGAGCTTACAGTTTGCCCTGCGTCCATCCAATCCTTTTGTTAGGACCCTGCTTTTGGAGTGCTATGAACTAAGGGCAGCTGAAGCTTAAGTCAAGTAAATATGATGATGCCCAGGAATAAATATTATTTTGGAGTCAATTAACAAAATATTACAAAGCATAGCCTGAACTGTCTTCCTGTGTCTATACAAAAAGGACATTGCTAAACCATGCAAATGACATAAAGGCAAGAGAGAAGTGATATAGGATTATTAGTGCTTGATGGAATTAGGTGTGCCTCTGGAGCACTGTTGTGGGAGTAGCTCAATAACCTAAGCTCCCTGCAGGAGGAGCAAGGACAACCCAATGTTAATCCAACAGTGCTGGGGACTGAACCCAGGTTAGCTGCACGTAAGACAAGTGCCCTACTTGCTGCACTATCTCTCTGGTCCCAGTTATTAGTGTTAATGTGTCTGTTTCTGTGCTTCATTTCTGAATTAACCTTTACCAGAGTTAATTAAGAAATGACTCACAGGAACCTTTGGTAAATGGTAAACTAACCTTTACCACATATTGGGGAGAACAACAACGTACTGTCCCATTGAAAGCATCCTCTAAGGGTCTTGAAATGCCTCCCCTGCAGACAGCAAGGGATACTGTTCTTGTATTTTGGAAAGAGAAGTGTCATGGCAGACTGGAAGGCAGTCTAAAGAGAAGGCAAGACAGAAAGCCAACACACCAGGGAAGAGTCTGCGGCAGCAACTTGGAAAAAGCGCTGAAGCCGAAATTTAGCAGAAGCAATGGACTGAAAGAGAAAGTGTAGGCTGAGGTAATCTTTAGCCAATAGAGCCAGTAGGATTTCCTAAACACTTCGAGGTGGAAAGTGAGACAAGGGAAAACTCCTCATTAAATCCAAGGGTTCTTCAGTTGGGGCGGGGGTGTCCTAAGTGGTCCAGACAGTGCTCTGAGGTCCTGGGGTGGCAACAATGATTCTCAGACAACCAGGCCAGAGAATGTAGTGCGGTGCTGGCACACAGGGCGGGGGTATCCTGGCCACTCCACAGGACTGGGGGCCTCCAGGACCACCGCTGGTGGTGCTCAGCGACCTGGGGGTGTTGGGAACCCAGATTAGGAGCTTGCACCCTAACTCCCTTACTGCACTATCCAAGATTAAACTCCAAGATTTCTGATTTCAGTAGGGTGGATGCAGGATGCAGGGCCGTATCACCCACTAAGACAGAGGGTGCAGAGAAGGAGGGAATGTGTGGGAAAGGTGATAATTCCACACCTTGGAATATTGAGTTGTTGGGTTTTTTTACTGTTTGCTTTTGTTTGGGGGTCACACCTGGCAGTGCCTGCTAGAGGTTTCTCCTGGCTCTGCACTGAAGGATCACTCCTGTTGGGTTTGGGGAACCAGATGGGGTACCAGGAATTGAACCCGGGTAAAGTGCCTCTGGATGATCCCAGTGAAGATTGCTATAGATAGTTGTTGAATAACATTGGGTTGTCTGTACTCCCACAGGGAGCGTAGGTTTATTGAGTTACTCTCACAACAGTGCTCCTGAGGCACACCCAATTCCATCAGGCACTAATAATCCTATGCTTTTCTCTTTCCTTTGTCATTTTGCATGGTTTATTTAGCAATGTCCTTTCTGTATAGACACAAGAAGTTCATGCTATGCTTTGTAATATGGGAGTTAATTGACTAATATTTTCAAATATGGGCATTATCATATTTACTTAAGTCTCATTTGCCATTAGTTCCTAGCACTTCAAAAGCAGGGTCCTGATAAAGGGAATAGATGGACCCAGGGCAAGCTGAAAGCTACCCTGGCATCGAAAGGAGGCAAGCTAAGCACCATAAGTATAATAAGTTAAGAGCACGGTCATGGAGTAAACTGTCATGGCCCAAAAAGAAGTAAGTGAATAAGAACCCTGCCAGGATTAGGAAAGACTAACCTGGCCTGAGGACTGTGGTCTGAGATACATAGAGGGTTGTCTCCAGGAAAAGCCAACCTTTAAGCTTAATATATCCCTTACTATGTTCATACAAAATGACTAGAAATATTATAAGTAAATTTACTATGATGGTTTAAATGGATTACTGACTGAGAAAAGGAGGAAGTCACACACCTTAGATGGAATCCCATCCTTGAACAGATCTTCTAGTAATCTGGAGTGCTGAACCCTCAGATGAGATTTTGTCCTTGAGATAACCTCCTAGAACTTCCCCTGAAGGAGTGGCTTTACCTCTGTTTGTTGTAATGACAATGGTCGCACCCCCCTTCAAGATTTCTATAAAACGATGCTGTAAGGGGTAAGAGGGGACTAAAAAGAGAGGGACTTTGGGACTTTGAGGTCTCTGAGGACTAGAGGGAGTTTGAGGACTAGGAGGAGGACTAGGTGACGACTATGACTGGAAGTAGGGAACTAGGAGACCACGATGAGACGAGGAAGAAAATGTAATGGGGCAGAGGAGTTTGACGTCTATGAGGAGACTAGGATGATGGAGCTGTGATAATTGGGACTACGACCAAAACTACGACAATTGTGCTGTAAGGGAGAGATGACACTACATGGGGGAGGAGAGAGAAATAAACCAACTACCGACAAGCCTGGGGCCCGAGTACAGTTTCTCCATTCCCCCAGTCCTTGTCCATCTGTCCATCCATCACCGTGGGCCGGCCAGGGGAACGTGCCCACACGCCTATACTTTTTCTTGGAAACTCACAGATCGTTGGACAGAGAACTGGGTCAAAGATACAGATCAGATTGGAGAGTCACCACATAATAATTAATTCATGGTTGAAACCAAGGAAATGGTGGCAATCTCCCAGACAGTGTGTAAAGTAAGAAAGATGAAAGCTATTTCCCCAGCCCCTCAATTCCTTAATAGGTAAGAAAATCATATACATACTAAGTAACTAGAAAAGGACAAATTCTGAGGATAGGACTGAGGGGCCGAAGAGGTCATACAGGAAGAAAGGCATTTGCCTTGCTTGCAGGAGACCTGGGTTCAATCCCCGGCATCCCATAAAGTGCCCTGAACCCGCCAGGAGTAATTCCTGAGTGCAGAGCCAGGAGTCAGCCCTGAGCATCGCCAGGTGTGGAGTAAAAACAAAAAACAAAGAAGCGAACAAACAAAACACCCAAAACAAATACAGGACCGAGGAATGAGAGTACAAAGGTTAAGGCACTTGGCTTGCATGCAGCAGACCCTTGCTTGGTCCCAGCACAACCTGGCTTCCTGTGCACCTCTTGGTGTGGCCTCCAAAACAGACAGAATCTAAATATGTAAGCATGTATCGGCAGGTGGGTGTGTGAGTCCCAGCCACTGTCACGGCAACAGCAGTGAAGGGAAGAGAAGAGGCACATGTTTTCAAATCTCGATTTTTGCTTCTCTTGCAAATCAGAGAATGTAGGATTAACGGGCTGTGCATTCCCTCCTGATGAGAAAGAGCTGTTTGAGTGGGAGGGAACAAGGGTCACTCCTGACGGTGCTTGGGGTGGGTGGGGAGGGCATGCGGTATATGGAATAGAATCTGGGCTTCCTGCATGCAAGGCGTGTGCAATGACCCTTTGAGCCATTGCCCTGGTCTAGGGCATATACTTTTACACCTGGCTTGCCACATACATATACGTTTACTCCATAGGCAACGGAGTTTATAAACTTGGCTCTTTCTTTTTTTTGGGGGGGAGGGGTAGGTTTGGGAACACACCTGGTGATGCTCAGGGGTTATTTCTGGCTCCACACTCAAGACTTACTCCTGTCGGTACACGGGGGATCAGATGGGACGCCGGGGTTGAGCCCAGGTCAGCATATGCAAGGCACATACCCTACCCGCTGTGCTATGGCTCCAGCCCAGCAACCCCATTTCTAAGCGTGGCTTGACACTCGGTGCGCATTGCCTAGTTGTTTATCTTTGCACTTATCAAGCCTCTCAGAGCAGCTTCACATGCTTTCCTCCTTGGGATTCCCCACACGGACTAGCAGAGCCACCTTACAAGAAAGATCACTGAGTGTAAAGTAGGTGGTGATGACAATGGGAACTGACTGACTTCCCTGTTTTTGATTTTGTTTGCTTTGGGGCCACACTTGGTGGCCAGGAACTATTCCGAGCTCAATGCTTGGTCAATTGCTACCAGCGGTGCTTAGGGGACCAGATGGTGCCAGAGATCAAACCCAGACCTCCTGCATGCAAAGCATATGCTCCAGCCTCTTGAACTATTGCCCCAGATCTAGTCAGACTTCTCCTAACTAGCCCAACACCAAAACCGTAGCTACTCCATCCCAAAGTGAAAATCCAAGGGGGGCAAAAATCTACGAATTAAGTGAAACAGCATAAGAAAGCACTAGAAGAGTGGGTGTACTGCTTGATAGAATGTGTGCTTCTTGGCACATGTGATGCCGCAGGTTCAATTCCCTGCCCAAAGGGAGTGAAGGAGGGAGGAAGAAAAAAAATAGTAAATTATGTGAGCTGTGGGGGTGGGGGGAGGGAAATATACACACATATATACAAAAATACAAAGGAACTCTAATCATGATATCATCCAATTTCTCAGCAGAAATTATACAGGCTAGCAGAGAGTGGAAAGAAGAAAGTCTTCAGAGCTAGAGAGCTAGTACAGAGGTTTGAGCACTTGCCTTGCATGTAACCAACTCTGGTTCCATCCCCTGTACCCCAAGCACCGTCAGGAATGAACCCTGAGCACAGAGCTTAAGTAAGCTCTGAGCACTTCCAGGTGTGACCACAAAACAAAACAAATGATGGAAATAATAAATGCAGGCTTCATCTTCTCCTTTTTCTTTTGCCACACTCAGTGGCACTCAGGGTTTACTCCTGGCTCTTCACTCAGCCCAGAACGCACCTTTTTTTTTTTTTTTAAGATAAGGTAATACTCAGAGACTACTCCCAGTTCCTTGCTCAGGGGTTGCTCCCGGATCATGAGGTACTAGGGGTTGAACCCAGGTTCCCTATATGCAAAGCTTGTGTTTAGCCTGTTGAGTTTGCTTTGGCCCAGAAAGGGACTTTTTTCCTCTTTCTCTTTCTTTCTTTCTTTCTTTCTTTCTTTCTTTCTTTCTTTCTTTCTTTCTTTCTTTCTTTCTTTCTTTCACAGCCACACCCTCAGTGCTTAGTTGAGGGGTATTTGAAGTCAAGACTGAACTCAGGGCTTTGCATGCTTCTTGAGCCATCCTCCAGCAGAGAGAATAATTTTCGTAGTGTGAGGATGCTAGAACTTTGTTGGTGAGTGTAGGAGGCTTAGAAATGTACTCCCTAAAGAAAGGGATTCTCTTTCACTGCTGGTGGGAATGCTGACTGGTCCAGCCTTTTTAGAAAGGACATTATGTATGGACATTATGTATGTATGGACATTACTCAGAAAACTAGAAGTTGAGCTTCCAAACGATCCAGCAATACCGCTCCTGGGAATATACCTTGGATGCCCAAAAACACAATACAGAAAAGGCATCTGCACTCCTGTGTTCATTGCAACATACTCACAATTGCCAGAATCTGGAAATAAACCAAGCGCTCAAGAACAGAGGAGTGGATAAAGAAACCATGGTACAGCTATACAATGGAATACCACGCAGCCATTAGGGAAAATTAGGTCATGAAATTTGCTTACGCATGGATGGACGTAAAGAGTATTGTGTTGAGTGAAATGAGTCAGAGGAAGATGGACAGACGCAGAATGATCACACTCATTCAATCACGGAATATTAAAAACAAACAAACAAACATAGAAACACAGTATGAGTAATACTAAAGACAGTGAAAATGAGGGCCAGCAAGAACATTCTAAGGTAGAAAGCTTGCCACGTGTTGTGGGGGTAGTGCAGTTAGGGCACAGAAGGGACCGCTGTGACAATGATCGTTGGAAATGATCACTCTGGACAAGAACTGAGTGCTGAAAGGAGGTAAAGGGATATTATACATGGATGTGGGAGAGAGGGAGAGAGAAAGAGTAAGAGAGAAGTATATGCCATAGAGGCAGGCTGGGAGGGGAGGGTGGGGGAAGGAAACTGGGAACACTGGAGATGGGAAAAGTATACTGGTGAAGGGTTAGGTGTTGGAACATTTATGACAAACCCAGTCATGAACAACTTTATGACTGTGTATCTCAGGGCGATTCAATTAAAAAAAAGAGAGAGAGACGTACTCCCCACGTTTTATGGTGTTGAAGACCAATGGTAAATTAATGTGTATTTTAGAAAAGATACCAGGGCTGGAGAGAGAGCTCCATTTAGGAGGCTTGGGTTCAATCTCTGGTACCTCATGGTCTCAAAAGCATTGCTAGGTGTGCCCTCCCCCCATCCCACAAATGCCCAAAAGACTGATATACTTTTTGTCTTTATAAAAAAATAGCACCAAATTTTCATGTAAAGAGGCAACAGAAGATTACGCAGGCAAGTATAAAGAACATACTATAAAGTAGTAGTTTTCTCCCTTTTCATGCTTTGAAGACTGGTAACTGGTCATTGACAGGCACTTAAAAATCACTGTTTAAAGGTTAATAGAGGGAAATAGAGGGATTTCTTTTTTTTCTTTTTGGGTCACACCTGGTGATGCTCAGGGGTTACTCCTGGCTCTGCACTCAGGAATCACTCCTGGCGGTGCTCGGGGGACCATACGAGATGCTGGGAATCGAACCTGGGTTGACCGCGTGCAAGGCAAATGCCCTACCCGCTGTGCTATTGCTCCAGCCCCGGAATTTCTATTTATTGGCAAACAATATTATGACTTTTTTCTTTTTATTTCTGGGCCACATACAGCAATGTTCAGGGATTACTACTGATTCCGTGTTCAGGAATTATTCCTGGTGGGTTCAGGGACCATATGGGATGCCGGGGATGGAACCCAGTTGGCCATGTGCAAGGCAAATGCCCTACAAGCTATATTATTGTTCAATGCCCCTGACATTTAAAAATGTTTCTATAGGGAGGGCCAGGGTGACAGGACAGCGGGTAGGGCGCTTGTCTTGCACATTCAACCCGGGTTGGATCCCCGGTGCTGTATTATGGACCCCCAGCTCACCAGCCATGATCTCTTGAGCACAGACCCAGTGTGGCCCAAAAGCGAGAGCGAGAGAGAGAGAGAGAGAGAGAGAGAGAGGAGACCCAAATTTATTAATATTCACAATTTTAGCGTCTTATCTTGAAAATACTGTATTTCATTCTAAAAGACATACAGGGCTTTGGGTCTGTCTTGAAGGGCTGTGAAATGAGATGTGTCTGACAATACCTTAGACTTGATGTCATGTAACTGTATGTATATGATTCTACAGCATCTAACTAAGGATGCGGTTTGACCCAAGGCTAGAAACCCTTCAGCTCTCTGAAAAGTTCAAATGAAAACTCCAGATAGTGGTTGCTAGGAAGCTGCTGATGCAGTTTGGTTGACATGGCAACCAGAGCATTGTCAGGTCAGACAGGGGCTGAACCTAGCATTCTGGCTTCAGCCTTAGAAAGGAGCTGAAGGCTCAGGTAGGTGCTCTGACCTGATACTGACCCTGTCCTGAGATTGTTGGGACTCCTTCACCGGGAGTAGCTAGTGGATCTAGTGAATTGTGTCCAAGCAGAAGTAAAAGGTACCTGGAGGCCCATCTGCTTTACCGGTAGACGTAACCTTTTCTGAAATTCGGTAAAATGCCTCTAACCATCATCTGTTGAGCTTGGTTACACACTCAACCCGAAGGGATCTTGGCTCCTTCTACATATGGATAAATATTTAAGTATACTTGCATACTAAAAGGGCAGATTCTATGCCAAATTAATGGCCATATATACGTACATATATATTATCAGGTATGAGATGGAGATTTAAATTATTTCTGTAAATATATTTTAATAGGTCCAGTCTTGTGTATTTTGTAACGAGACGAAATATGGTAAACATCCAAATGAGAAAAGACAGGGCAACATCAACAACTAAGCGAGGGTGACAGTTGGTAGTTCTCCCTTATCCTCCCCCCAGCCCCCAACTCACTTTGGTTTTTTGGCCACATCCTGCTGTGGTCGGGGATCACTCCTGGTGATGCTCTGGAGATCATATGGAGTGCTAGGGTCAGCCACACGCAGGGCAAGTGCGCTGCCCGCCTTACTATCACTCCCGTCCCCACCTCACCAGCTTTCTAACGACTATAAATTATTTTCCCAATACAAAAACTGCTAATAGAAATAAATGAACCCCCAGTCTAATTCCACGTGCTTAAATAAGCGTAAAACGTTTTGGGGGAAAAAGTCATATACTTCGGAATTAAATCCATACACAGTATGGGGTGGCTTATTAAAAAAAAATATTTTAAATTTAAAAATTTAAAAAATTTAAAAAATTTATTAAAAATTTAAAAAAAAAATTGGGGTCACCGTGATTTACAATCCTGCAGACAGGCTTTCACGCACAGTGCCCCAACTGTGCCCCTTGGACGGTTTATTAAGCAAAGGCTTTGGCAGGGCTGGTCCTCGGGGCTCCCTTTCTTCCTCATTGGAGCCCGAAATATTTTTGTTTTGAAAAAAAAAAAAAAATCAAAGCCGATTCAAAGAAACCGGTGGCTTTCGAAACGCGTTCCACGTAGAGGCAGGGCGGGGCGCGCGGGCGGCCGTGGCCGAGCTCCGCCCCTCGCGCGCCGTGACCCGGAAGCCGCCATCTTAGGCCTCGCCTCCCCGAGGAAACTACATCTCCCAGGACGCCCCGCGGCGGCCGCGGCGCGCTGACACTTTCACTGGCCGGGGGTCGGAGCCGAGCCTGTCGCCGGGCGCCATCTTTGACGCTGGCAGTCCGCGGGATTCTGCGGGTTGCTGCTGCTGTGAGGACGGCGGGCGGCCGCGGCGGCTCCGAGAGAAGAAAGACGTGGCAGCCAGTGGGACTCGGGGTTCGGTAAAGTTTCTGTTCTCTGGTAACTAGACCCGCTTTTTTTTTTTTTTTTGGATCCCCGGGTGGCTCGGGGCCGGGGAGGTCGGGGGCGCGGGCGAGGGGAGTGGCTGCGGCCTCCCTCCCCTCGCCCCTGGGTCGCGGCCTAGCCCGGGGAGTCGGAGCCGGCGGCCCCGCGCGCGCGGCCTCCCCGCCCCCCGCGGGCCGCCCCAGGCCGCCGGGCACCCCGGCCCCCGCCCCCTCCCTTCCCCGCCGCGCCCCTCCCCCACTTCCGGTGCCGCCGCCGCGCGCCCGATTCACCGACTCTCGTTCCTCTCCAGGGTCCGCGCGGCCCGGGCCAGTTTGCTCAGCCTCCACGCCCAGACCGGCCTCCGACCCTCCTCTGGTATCCGACCCTCCCCCGCCCGCCCGCCCGCGCGCCCGCGGCCGCGGAGCCCAGAGCGCCTCGGGGGCCACCTCCCTGCCGGAGCGGGGCGGGGGGAGGGGGTCCGGGACCGAGCGCGCCCCCCAGTCGGGTGGGGGGAGCGCCCCCGCGTGCTGGGCATCCTCCCGGGGCGGGGGCGCCGGGGGCGGGGCGGGGCAGGGCAGGGCAGGGCAGGGGCCCGGCTGGCGGGACGAGGCGGAGCGGGGACGGGGCGGCTAGCGATGCGCTGGAGGGTTAGTGCCTGCAGGGCTGCTGGCGGGGCGGGGGGCAGCCGGCGTCCAGGGCCTGGCCCGCTTTCTGCGGCTCCCGGCGGGGTCCGTGCAGGAGTGGGGGGCTGGATGTAAGACGTCTCCCTCTTTGCAGAGAATGCCGGGGAAGCCGGGGCTAACTCTGGCTACAAACCGCAGGCGTTGTTGGGAAGTGTAACTTGCAACTTTGTGTTACCTTTGGACTCCCGTTGAGCGTTGCTTTGCTTTGCTTTTTTCTTTCTTTCTTCCTTTGTTTTTCTTTTTCTTTTTCTTTTTCTTTTTTCCAAAAGTACCAAGTTGTATTGCTTCTTGTAGTCTGAACTGTGAGGTGGCTCCAGTGAGGTGCCCTTCTTGTTTAAATGACCAGTATGCGGAGTCACGAGTTTTAGCTTCCCAGAATTGACTCTTTGGGTTGTATTTGGCGAATCACAGCCCTCCTAGATGGTGAATGTTTGAATGATGCACTATGTTTTTTTTTTTGTCTGTTTACATAAAATCTTTCTGGAAAAATGACTAATTTTCAGAGTTAAGGGAAATCAGCCTTGCTATCTCATGAGGTTTCCTAAGAAAATATTTTATAAGCTGAAGGCATTTCAAGCAGATACAGGATTCGATGAAGCAGAGAGAACATGGGCCTGGGATTTGGAAAGCCAAACCCTAGCTGCTGGTGACCCTGGGAAAGTGGACCTCAGTTCTGTTTTGTAGAACATGAGAAGATTGTACTGCGTGAGTTTAGAACTCAGAAAGTTGGAGGCGATCTACAAGCCCTCCAAGAAAGAGTTTGGGAATGTTCTTCATTGCTGTCACTTTTCCTCCAACAATATCCTGGTGTGGAAGTCATTGGTTCAAAAGGAATTTGACTCCGTACAGAAATTGGAGGAAAGTTAATGCAAGTAGAGAGAAACAACTGTATTTCTGCCTTAGTAATAAACCCATGAACGGATTCCGCTACAAGTTTTGGAGACAAAAAGAATGAGTATATGTACCTTAAGTGTACCCGTTTCTTCACTTTCTCCTGGCAGAAGATGCAGCACTTTTAGTGGTGCCGGGGTTTTGGGATGTATTTCTGTTAATTCTAATACGGACGAAGAAGATGTGGTAGAAGGAAAGATGGTGGCGGAAGGTATGGATAAAGAGGCAAAATTGCCTGCTAAAAAGAAAAGAAAGAAGGGTTTGCGAATTAAAGGGAAAAGGCGACGAAAAAAACTGATCCTGGCAAAAAAGTTCAGTAAGGATTTGGGATCAGGGAGGCCGGTTACAGACACGCCTGCTTTGTTGTCTTCCAACACCTCTGAGCAGGATGAAGAAAGCCTTTTTGAGAGCAATATAGAAAAACAGATCTACCTACCTAGTACCAGGGCTAAGACCTCCATCGTGTGGCACTTCTTTCACGTGGACCCTCAGTACACCTGGCGGGCTATTTGTAACCTCTGTGAGAAGAGTGTTAGCAGGGGTAAGCCGGGCAGCCATCTTGGGACATCCACTCTTCAGCGGCATCTGCAGGCAAGGCATTCACCTCATTGGACCAGGGCCAACAAGTTTGGAGTCACTAGTGGGGAGGACGATTTTACTTTGGATATGCCTTTGTCTCCCTCTTCTGCTGGAAGCAATGGAAGCTTTGAATATATCCCTACGGACCCACTGGATGATAATAGACTGGGTAAGAGATGTAATAAAGCAGTATCTGATGCCCTGCGGGCAGAAAGAGGGAGATTTCTCATCAAAAGTAACATTGTCAAGCATGCCTTAATTCCTGGAACTAGAGCCAAGACGTCTGCAGTTTGGAATTTTTTTTATACTGATCCTCAGCACATCTCAAGAGCTGTGTGCAATATATGTAAAAGAAGCGTGAGTCGGGGTAGGCCAGGTTCTCACTTAGGAACTTCAACACTTCAACGACACCTGCAGGCCACGCATCCCATTCACTGGGCTGTTGCCAACAAAGACAGTAGTGGTGCTCTTGGAAACGGGCTGGATGAGGTGGAAACTGAGAGAAATGATCTCTTGAGTGACACTTTGCATGGAGAAAAGTCTACAGGTAGCCAAGATTTAACAGTTGAGGACCTTAGTGAGACTGATTCAGAAGAACCTCCTTTGTTAGAGGTTGAGAATCAAAGATCTGAGAGTCCTGTTGGTGTTGCAGAGGAAGACGTTGTGGTACATGCGCAGGAGAGAGAACCAGCCTATTGTGGAAGTACTGTCTCAAGTCAAATAAGTCAGGCAATTATTCAGATGATTGTGGAGGATATGCATCCTTATAACTACTTTTCAACACCAGCCTTTCAGAGATTTATGCAGATTGTGGCTCCTGACTATAGGCTACCGTCTGAGACTTACTTTTTCACAAAGGCTGTACCTCAGTTGTACGATTGTGTCAGAGAAAAAATTTTCTTAACTCTGGAGAATGTTCAAAGCCAAAAGATTCATTTGACGGTAGACATATGGACCCATGACCCATCCACTGACTATTTTATTGTGACTGTACACTGGGTCTCTTTGGAAACGACACTGTCTTGCAGTGATGGCAGGGTCCCCAATTTTAGAAAGTGGGCAGTACTCTGTGTAACAGGTTTGGCTAAAGACTGTTTAATAACCAATATTTTACAAGAATTAAATGACCAGATTGGTCTTTGGCTTTCTCCTAATTTCCTCATCCCTAGCTTCATTGTTTCTGACAATTCCTCTAATGTGGTACATGCAATCAAAGATGGTGGTTTTACCCACGTGCCATGTCTCCTGCATTGCTTAAATATAGTCATTCAGGACTTTTTCTGTGAACACAAGAGCATTGAGAATATGTTAGTGGCCGCCAGGAAAACTTGTCACCATTTTAGTCACTCAGTCAAGGCCCGTCAGATACTGCAGGAGTTCCAAAATGATCACCAACTTCCATGGAAGAATTTGAAACAGGATGAAACTGGCCACTGGATTTCTACCTTTTATATGTTACAGTGGCTCTTGGAGCATTGCTACTCTGTCCATCACAGCCTGGGTAGAGCCAGTGGAGTTGTGCTTACCTCTCTTCAGTGGACTCTGATGACTTATGTTTGTGACATTTTGAAGCCATTTGAGGAAGCCATCCAGAAAGTGAGTGTGAAGACCACAGGATTGAATCAGGTGCTACCCCTAATCCATCATCTACTCCTTTCCCTGCAAAAACTCAGAGAAGATTTTCAAGTCCGAGGTATTACTCAGGCACTCAACCTGGTGGACAGTTTATCTCTGAAACTTGAAACTGATACCCTACTAAGTGCCATGCTCAAATCTAAGCCCTGTATCTTGGCTGCTTTGTTAGATCCTTGTTTTAAAAACAGTTTGGAGGACTTTTTCCCTCGAGGTGCTGATTTAGAAACTTACAAGCATATTCTTGCAGAAGAAGTTTGTAGTTATATGGAGTCTTCGCAGGAGGTCAGCCGTATTGCAACTTCAGAGTCTTCTGGTTCCTCAGTGGTAGTAGCAGCCGACTCGTTTACCTCTTCCTTAAGAGAAGGCGCCTCTAGCTCAGGATCTATTGATAGCTCAGCTGCAAATAATTTTGCCATGGGAAGCAAAAGCTTCATGTTTCCTTCAGCTGTAGCCGTAGTGGATGAGTATTTCAAAGAGAAGTATTCAGAGCTCTCAGGCGGTGGTGACCCTTTGATTTACTGGCAGAGGAAGGTGAGCATATGGCCTGCTTTGACCCAAGTTGCCATTCAGTATCTAAGCTGTCCCATGTGTAGTTGGCAATCTGAGTGTATCTTTACTTCAAATAGCCTCTTTCATCCAAAGCAAACCATGAGCCTGGACTTTGACAATATAGAACAGCTGATGTTTCTGAAAATGAACTTGAAAAATGTTAACTATGATTATTCTACGTTAGTCCTTAGCTGGGATTCCGAGAATGAAGTAGTTCAAAACAACGAGAAAGAAATATTATCTTAATTTCTTTTCCTCTCCATTTAAAATGAACAGTTTATTGCTATATTATTGGTCCTGATTGCTATAGTTGTTAAACATATTTTTACTAATTAATAAACAAATCTGGGGAAACCTAAAAACAAAAAGGGCTGTAAATTCCTCAGAGGCAATATAATGTTGGCAAAGTGAACATTAACTTTCAAGATTTCATATTAGTAATAACTGTCACTTAAAGTTTGGTTTATACCGAATGAGAAAAGCTTTTTTTTTTTTAATTTTAAAATATAGTGCAGCATTGAAAGGCCGCAGGCTATTTCTGGCTGATAGATTGAATTAGTAATTGGTTTTAAGTGAAAATTTCTTCCATCATGGGACATTTCATTGTTCTAAAACCAATGAGATAGAAAAAAGTAAACCAAGCTGGTATTCTTCCTCTCTCCCCATTTTCTGTTTCTTAAAAACCAAAAACCTAGTTTGTATTTATTACTAGGCAAAGATAATTATTTTATATTTGCAACTTGCCTCCTCATACTGGTCAGCTTTATAATTTCAGCTTCTTGAGTGTGATAGAGTTACTGTTTACATTTAATAGTGAATTTATATAAAAAGGAAATGTTCAGAAACATTAGGGGAAAAATTGGTCTTTGAAACATTGCCTTTAAAAGCTGCCTTTTTTAAGCCTTTATAAAATAGTGTAAACAGAATGTATAGGTACTTTTACATAATTCATGAGTAAATAACTTACTAAGAAGTTTACAAAAATTGAGAGTAAATGGGAATTGGAATGAACATGAGCCCCGTGAGCACACCTTGACAAACCAATACCCATTTCCCAAAGAATGCTTTTGTAATTTTGTGTCTTTTTGGATGTCTTTTTTAAAAATGCATGATGACTCATTTTCTTAATTTTGAAATTATTTTCACCACTACTGAAAATAAACAGCCAATATTTTCACGAACTAGGAATCATTGCCTCACTGGTAAAATGAGAAATTATCTCTGTGATCTTTCAGGTCTGTTTCCACTCTGAAACTAGGTTTTCGTGATTGAGTGAGAAACCAGAAAAATGACGACTTTTTAGTAAAAGTCTATTAAAAGTTCCAGACTGAATAACTAATGTAAGATCCCAATTTTTCCTTTTTTTCATTTTAGATTTGGGGATATTCCCTGCCCAAAAATTTCCTGGAAAATTGACTAGTATTAAGTGTGAGTAAAAGGTGTCCACTTTTTTTAAGTTTTAATTTTAGTTTTGTCTTGGATTAGTACTTGGCAAGGTTTAGCCTAGAAATTATGTAGCATTTATTAAATAAGAATCAAAATTGCATTGTTACTGGGCTGGTTTCAAAAATTAAAATTCATTTCTATGTACCAACATAGGTTATTTTTTTGTTTTTGAAATTCTTAAATGGTAAACGTACCATTGTAAAATGAAATTTCAACTCTGAAAGTTTACCCTTTTACTTACGGGTAAATAGATAATTACAACGTCTTTAGTTGTAGCTAACACTAGTAAAGATTTTGGAACGAGGCTGCAATAAGAAAGCCTTTGCAGGGCTGATATTGAATGTCATACCAGTGACCCTGGTATTTCTATAAAAGAAGAGTGAAACAAACTTCCCTTAGATAGAAGCTCTCTGTATTTGACAGTGCCAGTACAGGATGGCGATGCTGCTGCTCTCCCTTTTACAGCTTGCTGCACCCCTGTGTAGTTACTCTAGAACAATCCGTTTCTACCTTTTTTGGTTAAACACTCCCTGAGGATAAAGATGATGTTGCTATACATACATACCATACACATTGAGAGATTTGTAAGGGTTTCTCTTCACCTTTATTTTGTGGGCTGGGCAAAATTTACTATAACATTAATAAACTTCATATTTTTGGTATATGAGTAAGTTGACTATTTTTATAATGAACCAAAATCTAAAGACTTTTATAGTGTATTTTAAAAGGGAAAACTTACTCAAATGTTTTATTTCTACACATTTGTGTATATGTATGTGTATAAGCCAGTTAGTATATATGTGTATGTATGTTATATACATAAACACTATATTTTTACATGTAAGTGTGCTTTTATTTATACAGATAATAAAGATGGGGGAAGGTTTCTGTTTTTTTCTTAATAGGTGAAGAAATCTTGAAGACCAGACATTGGATCTTAATTTTGATCTTCTTTTTCTTTTTCTTCTTAAATTATATTGTTCGCCTATGGAAGATGGATTTTTTTTTTTTCCAAAGTAATCCTTTGAATCTCAAGTTCATCTTTAAGTGAACTTTTTTTTTTGTTATTTTGTTTTGTTTTTTTGTTTTTGAGGAGATAACTAGCTGTAGCTGTCTCCAATCTGACAAAGGTTATTGCAATGGACTTTATCTCCCAATAGTTGGGAGATGTTTTAAAAACACATCTTGTGTTTGAATTGTGGCTGAGAGGTTTCCTTGGCAATGTGAGGAGGAGGAAAATTCTTTCTGCCTCATTATTATTAATTCATGGATTGAGTGTTGGTTCGACCTACAGGCGTAATAGATTGGATCTGAGTGAAGACACAGACCTTCCTGTTGAGAGCAACCCGCTAATGTAAGTGTAGAAATGAAATTTTTTCATATATAAAGGAGTAGACATTTTTGTAATGTTAAGGTGTAATGTTCTGGATCAGTAAGAAGTTAAAAGTCATGGTCAACACATTTTTTTCTTGTAATTGTTTATGAACTTTCGGCATAGGAATGGAAATGTGTGTTTGTGTGAAGTTTGGTGGATTTTTTTTCTTTGTTTTTGGGTTAATACATACACATTGTTACCGCAATGGCATCTCCCTGTAATTTCAGCTCCTCAAAAGAAAGTGTCATTAGTAGCTTATCAATAGATAGTTCTCTGTTGATATACGTAACTCTTCCTTTTACCCCCTTTTTTAAAAGTGTTTGGGTTACACCCAGTGGTGCACAGGGCTTTCTCATAGCTGTGCACTCAGGGATTACCCTGTTTATACATTTTTAATTTTTGTTTGCTGCCTCACCCAGTGGTGTCCACGGCTTCTTTCTGGTTCTGTGCTTAGGAATCACTCCTGGTGGTACTCGGTACTCGGTACTCGGGAGTACCAGTGTCAGATTGGTGCAAGGCAAGTGCCCTACCCTTTGTATGATCGCTCCGGCTCCAGGGATCATTCCACAGTGTTTAGGAGACCATGTGTTGTGCCAGGGATTGAATCTCAGTCTGTAGGGCAGATGCCCTATCTGCTGTACTATTTTCCCATCTCTATTATTTTTTATTTTTTCATGACAACATACATAGGGTTCCTTTATGTGGCTGTGCTATAATTTAATTTAACCTCTGTTGATAAACGTTTGAGTTTTGCCTTTAGAAACAAGCCTGTGGACTGGAGAGATGGTATATTGGGTAGAGCACTTGCCTTGTGTGAGGCCAGCCCTGGTAATTCCCGAGTGCAGAGCTGGGAGTAACCCCTGAGCATTACCAGGTGTGGCCTTCCCCCACCCCCTAAACCCACTCCCCCAAAAAAGGTGGGGGGAAGTAACTTGGGGCTGGAGGATACAGTGGGTAGGAACTTGACTCATACGGTCTCAGAAGCCTCGCTATAAATGATCCCTGAGCACCACTGGGTGTATCCCCAAAGCAAAAAAAGCTGTTCTTAGTATAGCATAGCCTTTAGTGAGTGAGTCTCTTTGCTATGCTGGTTGATTAGTGGTGAGGGGTGGGGTGTGTTCAGTTTTGGGGGGGGGGTTCTTGGTCCACATTCAGCAGTACTTGGGGCTTAGTCCTGGCTCTGCTCTTAGGGATCACTCTGCAATTCAGGGGACCAATGGACAATGGGGTGCCTGGGGTTAAACCTGGGTTGATGCGTGTACAAACCAAACACCCTGCATACACTGCTCTCTCTTGGCCCTTCTTGAGCCTTTCATGGAACTTTTCTATGCAAAGTAGTGTTTTCCAAACTCAGTTTTGGACAGTTATTTCTGGGCTGGAGCAATAGCACAGCGGGTGGGGTGTTTGCCTTGCACGCGGCCAACCCGGCTGACCCAGGTTTGATTCTTCCACTCCTCTCGGAGAGCCCGGCAAGCTACCATGAGAGTATCTCGCCCCCACGGCAAAGCCTGGCAAGCAACTCATGACATATTCGATATGCCAGACACAGTAACAAGTGTCACAATGGAGAGGTTACGGGCCCGCTGGAGCAAATCGATGAACAACGGGAGGACAGTGACAGTTATAAATCATACTGATTTGTGAAGTCTTTTTATGTTAATCTGAATACTCATTTACATTTAGAAATTGTTATATTTCATTGCTTTTACATCTGTATTCGATTGAACATTACTCCTCTTAAAATTTTGTTTTCCGCAGTGTTCTAGGTGGTTTTACTATCTGTCAAGTTACAATAGAAAAGTCTTATTGGGATGTTGACTTGAATTGCTTTTGACGTATTCGTTATTTGGGGGAGAAGTAAGCTTCTTCAAGCTGCTGCTCATGTCTTTATCTGTTCCCTGATAGTAGTGGTCTTATTTTGTCATTTAATGTGAATCTTGTAGGCTTTTTGTTTTTGTGTTTTGGGGTGATCTCAGGGCTTATTCCTGGCTCTGTACTCTACTCCTGGCTGGCTTCGGGGACCACATGGGGTGCTGGGATCTAAACGCAGGTCAGCTGCATGCAAGACAAGCGCCCTACTGCTGTGCCCTTTGTTCTTATTTTCTATGTATTTCATATTTTTTTAGTCATGAATGAAAGTTAACCACCTGAAGAAATCCTGCTGATTTTTTCATAATATTTTGGCTGATTGTTAGATTTTGTGTTTTATAAGTGTATAATCTTCAAATGCTAAATTTTTGAGGTGTCCTTGTGGCCCTTAAACTCTCTTATTTGGTTGAGGCAGACCCATAAGTGCTCAGGACTTACTCCTGGCTCTGCGCTTGGGGATCACTCCTGGTGGTGGTGCGCAGGGTACCATATGGGGTGCAGGGGATTAAACTTGGGTCAGCTGTGTGCAAGGCAAGTGCCCTACCCATTGTACTATCTATCCCCCCAAGCCCCCTTAGACCTTTTTTACCTTGTTTACCCCTGAGCGGTATTAATGATAGTTGAGGGAATGTTTATTTTGTCTTCAGTGACCTTACCTCTAGGCTTTTACCCTGGTAGTTTGCTGATGGTTCCTGATGATGTGCACATGCGCCTAGGGGAGAAACCTTGTGTAATTCACTAAAATTTTTGTTGTTTTGTTTTAGGGCCACACCCAGTGGTGCTGAGGGCATACTTCAGGCTCTGTGTTCAGGGCTCATTCCTGGCAGTCTCTGGGTGCCATATATAGTTCAGTGTTCAAACTGGGAAGGTTGCATGCAAGGCAAGTCCTTCAACCCTATACTATCTGGCCCCAAGATTTAGAATTTTTAAAAAATATTTTTTATTTTAATGTAGAAAAAAGACAACTATTGATACAATCCTAGAATTAAAGTTAATTAGATAACAAAACTCCCAAAATTAAAAATCAGTGGGTATAAACAATTTATGTGAAAATTGTTACATCTGACCACAGGATTGTTATGTCCTTGTCTAAGAATTTATTAAGCTGTTTGTTTCAGGAGGTGTTCCTTGGCCACAACGGCCTCGCAGCCCAGAGACCTCAGGGTCTGTGGTCTACACCAATGGCTTGACATGGCGGTGGCTCTGGGCGATGGGTGTGGCTTTTGGGGCATCCGGAAGTATGGAGGGTTGTGGATGGATACTCACCCCAACTTAAGAAAGCACCAGAGTTCTCGACCTGAGCACCGGGTACCTGAAATTATTTGCAGGTTGGCATCTCTATGGAGAATACTTACGAAGCAGTGGAGTTGAGCCCTTGGCATGGCTGCAGTGGTGGGTTGTGGGTGATACTGCTGGAGCTTCTGTTAAAACATTGCCTGTGGCATGGCTTTATTCACCCCCCCCCCCCTTCTTTATTTAAATAAAAAATTTCATTTGAGGAAGAAAGCTCGCAAGCTGTGCTTGAGGGCCTGGGGGTCATGCCCAGTAGTACTCAGCCAACCAGATGGTTCAGTGGTAGGGCCCTAGATGCAGTGCTGTGTTGCCCGGGACCATTAGGTACACTCAACATCCCTGAGCCCCCCCGGCTATTCCCAGGTGGTGCTGGAGAGGAGCCGTACAGTACAGCCTTGCCTTTGCCCTCCTCACTTTTCATTGAACCTTTTTTGTGGGAGAGTTGGGTTTGGGGGTGGTACCTGGGCTGTTCTAGCTTATGCTCAGGAATGAACCCTGGGATAATTGGGGCATCGTAAATGGAGCTGGAGCTTGTTAGGGTTTTTGTAGAATGTAAAGGCAAGCACCCGGACCCCAGCTCTTGTGTCTCCAGCCCAGCTTTATTAAATTTGTCTTTCCAAATTCTTATTCTCAAAATTAGAATAACTTATTTATCAGTAACATAGCGTTATGAGTGTTTTACTTTTTGAAGTAAACCACTTCTTGAGATCTCCTAAAAATGAAGTATAAACAACTAAAATCTAAGATCACTTAAGTTCTTTATCTTTAGACATTTAGAGATTCAGCTGTGGTCTTCGTCAGATCGGAGTTTCTCTTCTGCTTTTTTTTGAGTTTGTAATTCTGTATTATTATTTTAGCATTTTTATCATCTGAGCGTAGTAGAGATGACTTTAAAGAAAATTTCTACGTGGCAGTTTCGAAGAGTGCCTTTTAGTCTAAAGACTAAAGGTCCATCCAGTTACTTTTATGTAGGTTTTTTTTTTTAATGTATAAAGTATTATCTGTACTAATGCCATTACTTTCTCCGTCTTTTAGAATTTCCATTGTAGGGCCAGGCATATGTGATTTGCATATGGGAGCCTCAGGATTGATACTCGCCACCACAAGTTGTTATTGAGTTTCAAGTGTACAGTGTTCCAATACCAAATGTCCCTCCGATCCCCCAGCCTGCCTTCATGGTCGGCAGTTTTTCCTTTTTCCCTTTTTCCACCCCCTCCTCCTAGGCACTGGTTTACAGTACTGTTGCTGATAGGGCATCATGCATATCGCTTTACCTCTTAACAGCCCAGTCCTGGTCCAGAGGGGCCACTTTTCTCTGTCATTGTTCCTTCTCTGACCTGTGCCCTCTCTCCCTCAGGGGAGTTTCCTACGAAGGACCTGTTCTCCTGCTCTTATTTTCTTAGCCTCTGGACATTAATTATCCCCCTATTATGTTTCTTTGAGTTTTGGAGTTTGGAGTTTATTTTCCATGAGTGAGTGGGATCATTCTGTGTTTGTTTCTCTCCCCAAGCTCATTTCATTAATAGCCCAGTAGTACTCCATTGTATACCTTCTCTATCCGGTCAACTGTTCTGGGTGCTTGAGTTATTTTCAGAAAAATAGTGCTGCAGTGAACCCAGGAGTGCACATGGCTTTTTCCCCCTGCTGCATGGTCTTTGGACCCTTGGTCTATATTCGCAGGAGTAGAATTGCTGGGTTGTATGGAAGTTCGAATCATAGCTTTTTAAAGAATGTCCATATAAAAAAGAATCTGGACCAGTCTACCTTCCTACCAGCAGTGAATGAGGATCCCTTTTTGCCCTGCATCCACTCCGACTGAGTTGTTATTTTTGGTGAGAGTCAGTCTCTGGTGTGAGGTGATGCGTGGTTTTGATTTTCATTTCCCTGAAGATTCCCTGTTTTTCATTTCCCTGAAGAAAAGTTACAGAGCACTTTTTCACATCCCTTTTGACCATTTGTATTTCTTCTTTGAGGAAGTTTCTGTTCATGTCCTCTCCCCATTTTTCAATGAGCAGTGTTTATATTTCTGGCAGCAGTTTGTCATACACTTTTCTCTGTCAAACTCTTGTAGTTTGTATGCATGGTACATTTTTAGAAATTCCACATTTTAGGTGTGTTTTTTTGGGGGGGGTTTATTTTATAGCAGCACCACATTTTAGTGCAGAATTTATAATGAGCATTGCATGTCCTCATGTGGAATATACCATAATTTTGTTAGAGACTCTACTCTTGTTTGTTTGGATTTTTGTTTCTATTTTTGGGCCACAGCCAGTGATGCTCAGAGGTTACTCCTCGCTGTGCGCTCAAGAATCACCCCTGACATTGCTAGGGGATCATATGGGATGCCAAAGATTGAACCCATATTGGCTGAATGAAAGGAAAGTGCCCTACCTGGTATATTTTCTCGCCAATCCCTATATTCTTTCTTTTTAAAATTATGAAAAAATAGATGATGAAGTTTCTTATGTAGTTTTAGGCAATCCTGCATATAGACCCAGGGTAAAATAGAATTGTCAAGGTAAAGGTCATGTAAATCTTAAAAATTCTAGTTTTTTGGCAGACTCTTCCTTCTAACCCTATACTGACATCAAATGTTTTTCATTATTGCCTGCTATCCTTATATTAGGAATTAGTAGGACATAAGGGATACATTAATAATTTTGAAACCTGATCTTCTAGGAACTGGAGTGATATAGTAGGTAGGGCACTTGTTATGCATCTGACCAGGATTTGATCCCTGGTACAGTGTATGAATCCTCTAATCCTCCAAGCGCCACCAAGAGTGGTCCCTGAGTTCAGATCCTGGAGTAAGCCCTGAGCACCACTGGGTGTGGCTGGGGAAAAAAAAACCTGCCTGATCTTCTGGTGTAAGAGTGTGTAAAAATTTCTTCCAGGTTTTTACTTCCATTAAGGTTTTCTTGAACACTTTATTGTGAGGACCAGGGTTAGCAAGGAAAGGAGAATAAATCCTTTTGAAAGAGCCTTGAGTACTTCTGCTTTCTATATATAACTTTGTCCATCATTGTATATAAGCTAGTTCTGCAGATGTTTTTAGAAGTCATTGTTTCTAGTGAAACAGTTTATCCTGTTTATATTGTATTTTGGATTTGGGTGTTTTTTTTTAATATTTTGGAGACTTAGCAGATATTGTGTATAAAATAATCTTGTTCATCTAAAATATAAATTGTTGAGTTAGCAATGCTTATTGATTTTTATGCTATAGCAGTGTAACAAGTACCATAGAGAACGCAAAAGAAAGAAGAACATGGCTATATATACCTAAAACAAGTTTTACATTACACATGAGAATATAAAATATCTACATAAGAATAAAATATGAGGCTGGAGTGATAAGTACAGCAGGTGGGGTCCCCAGAACCCCACCAGGAATGATCCCTAAGTGCATAGCCAGGAGTAAGCCCTGAGCACTGCCAGGTGTAGCCTACAGACCATAAATAAATAAAAATTTTGTTGGGTGGAGGCCACATCCTGTGTTGCTCAGGGCTTACTCCTCCCTCTGTACTGAGGATCACTCCTGGTGGGCCTCAGGGGATCATTTGGAGTGCTGGGGATCAAACCCCGGTCAGATGCGGGCAAGGCAAATGCCCTGCCCTCTGTATTATCGCTCTGGCTGAGTATAGGTTTTTGTTGTTGTTGTTGTTTTCTTTTTTAAAGAGTAAAATGCAAGGGACCAGGGAGATGGTGCAAATAACTGGATTGTATTCGTTGCTGTGGGACTCACGGTTCAGTCCCTAACACTGCGTGGCTCCCAGCCCATCCCTTCCCAGCACCAAGCAGGATTTGAGCCAAAAAACAATAGTACACACATTCGGGTATATGAGTAAACGTTCCCATGACCATAGACACTGGCACACATTCAGAAGGACAAGAACAACGAGTGCTGGTGGGGATGTGGGGAGAAAGGGACTCACCTTTGCTTGTGGGAATGCTGACTGGTCCAGCCTTTTTGGAAGACAATATGGACATTCCTGAAAAAACTAGAAATTTGAGCTTCTGTAATGACCCAGCAGTACTGCTCTTGGGAATATACCCAAAACCGCAATATAGAAAAGGCATCTGTACTTACTTGTTCACTGCAACACTATTCATTCACAAGAACCAGAATACTATGCAATTGTTAGGAAAAATGAAGTTGGGGAGTGCAGTCAGGACAAAGGCGGAGACCAATGTGGCAATAATTGGAAATGATCACCCTGGATAAGAACTGGAAGGTGAAAGGGGGAGATTGATATGCTTGATAACCCTTCAGTAACAGTGTTGCAAACCACAGAGCCTAAAAGGAAAAGGGAGGAGGGAGAAAAAGAAGAGAAGTGTCTACTACAGTCAGGCTGGGGGTGTGGGTTGGGGCAGAGAAATGCACACGGTGGAGGGATGGGTGTTGGAACGTTGTACGAATGAACTCAGTCATAAATAACTTCATAACTATCTTGCAGTGGTTCAGTTTTTTTTAAAAAATGTACTGTCACTCTGGTATAAACTAGTATCTAATATTTTGGCAATTAAAATTTGGTTTTAACAGTGCCATCTCGTTAAGACGATATGAAGGAAGAATTTGTCTGAAATTCTTTGTCTCATTTTAGGATTGCATTTTAAAGACGATTTCTGTGGTTGAATTGTCTATTGGAAGATTAACCCATTTCAAGAGGTCCTCATCTTGAAGCAGTGGCTTGTTTTCAAGAAGCCACTTCCGGTCTGAGGATCTACCCAGCATGCCTAATCAAGGAGAAGACTGCTACTTTTTTTTCTATTCCACGTGTACCAAAGTAAGAATTAGTATCTCTATATACTTTCTACTATCTTCTTAATAAAACTGGTTGAGATTTTTTTTTCCCAAGATGGATAGAGAATTGTTTTTGTGTTTTGCTCATTTATTATTTGCTTTTTTTTGTTGTTGTTGTTGTTTTTGTTTTAGTGAAAATATTTTTGGGGTCGAGGGTTATGGCTCAGAGTGGTCAAGCACATGCCTAACATGTTGGAGGCCCTGGGTTCCTTCCGCGGCACTTCCCCGGTTTCCTTGGTCACCATTGGTGTGAGACTGGTGGCTCAAGAGCCTTGCCAGCTTGGGACATCGCATTGCCAGGCCTCCAGGCTAGACTGGGCCCTATATACCCTACCGCAGTCCAGCACTGCTGCTGGTGGCCCCTATTAACAAAACATTATTGGGGTTGGAAAGATACCGTCCAGGGCTTAAGGCACTTGCCTTGCATGTGGCCGGCCCCAGTTCAGTCCCTGGCAATGCATATGGCACTCTTGGCGCCACCTGGAGTGACCTTTGTACAGAACCAGGAGTAAGCCCTGAATACAGTTGGATAAAGGTAAAGCTAAAAGCCCTCCCCCGTTGTTTGTCGATTTGCTCGAGCGGGCCCAGTAACGTCTCCATTGGAGACTTTGTTGTTACTGTGTCTGGCATATCGAACATGTCACGGGGAGCTTGCCAGGCTCTGCCGTGCGGGCGAGATACTCTCGATAGCTTGCCGGGCTCTCCGACGGGTCGGCCATGTTGGCTGCGTGCAAGGCAAACGCCCTACCGCTGTGCTATCGCTCCAGCCCAGTTGGATGAGAATTCAATTATTTATTCATTTTGCTTTTTTGGGCCATATCCAGGTTACTCATGACTCTGCATTCAGGAATCACTCCTCGCGGTGGTGGTCCTGGGATGCTGGGAATTGAACCCTGGGTTGGCTGCATGCAAAGCGAGCACTCTGCCTGCTGTACTATCACTCTGGCCCCAAGAACTCAATTTTCCCCCAATCATTTTTTGTTTTAAAAATGTTTTACAAAAGTGAAGTGGTTATAGTTAATGTTGTTTAGTGTTCTCTTATCTAGAATTTATATAGGGTGCCTTTAGAATTAAGAATACTTGGATCACTTGCTTGAGTGAATGGAAGTATTGTATTATCATTGAGTTGAATTTAAACTATTTCACATTTCTTTCTTAATATTATGCACGATATTGTGAAATGTTTTTAGAGGTTTTTTGCTTTGTCAAAAGTGTGTTTTTTTTTTAAACTATATTTATTTATTTATCTTTTGCTTTTTGGGTCACACCTGGCGATGCACAGTGGTTCCTCCTGGCTCTGCACTCAGGAGTTACTCCTGGCGGTGCTCAGGGGACCATATGGGATGCTGGGAATCGAACCCGGGTCGGCCACGTGCAAGGCAAACGCCCTACCCGCTGTGCTATCTCTCCAGCCCCAAAAGTGTGTGTTTTTAAAGCATGATTCTTGTGTAACTATTGAGTTAACCTGGTCTTATTATTTTATGAGTATCGTTCTTTTCTTTTTTTTTCTGGGACCATACCCGGCAATCAGTGGTCAGGGAGAGTCTTGACTCTGCACTCAAAAATTACTCTTGGGGGGCTGGAGCAATAGCACAGCGGGTAGGGCATTTGCCTTGCACACGGCCGACCTGGGTTCGATTCCCAGTATCCCATATGGTCCCGCTAGCACCGCCAGGAGTAATTCCTGAGTGCAGAGCCAGGAGTAACCCCTGTGCATTGCCGGGTGTAACCCAAAACGCAACAACAACAAAAATATTACTCTTGGAGAATTACTCTCGGTGGGAACTATATGAGATGCTGGGCTTGAACCCGGGACAGCCGTATGCAAGGCAAACACCCTACCCACTATACTGTTTCTCTAACCCCTGAGTACTGCCCTGTAGCACTGTCCTCCCGTTGTTCATCGATTTGCTCGAGCGGGCACCAGTAACGTCTCACCACAAATTGTGAGACTTGTTATTACTGTTTTTGGCATATCGAATACATCACAGTTAGCTTGCCAGGCTTTGCTGTGTGGGTGGGATACTTTCAGTAGCTTGCTGGGCTCTCTGAGAGGAGCGGAGGAATCAAACCCCGGAACCCTGAGCATTTTGTACAAATTTTCTTTGAAACTTCATATTTAAAATAGTGATGCTGTGTTTTTAAAAATTTGCTCTAAAATAGGCTCTAATCTTGAATTCGTTAATCAAACTACTTGAACAATTTGGGTTATATAAAAATTTTGAGGATCAAGTTAAAAAATATTTTCGAGGGATATTTAATGCTTCCATTTTCCATATTTCAATCCTGTACCGCTCTTGTACTGAAGTTGAAAGGTATTACTAAACAGAAGTGGGAAATTAAGAATTTGTTGACTAGAGTATTCATATAGCCCACCTTTTCTACCTTGTCTATTTCTCTTGTATTTCTCCTGTACTAATCATTGTACCTGGGATCTCTTTTGCTATGCCATAGTGCCTTTCTGTTTCGTTTTCTTTGTTTCAGGGTGACAGCTGTCCCTTCCGTCACTGTGAAGCTGCACTCGGAAATGAAACTGTTTGCACATTATGGCAGGAAGGCCGCTGTTTTCGACAGGTGTGCAGATTTCGGCACATGGAGATTGATGTAAGTGCCAATGTGTAATATTCTAAGTAGCCTGCTGAATTTCTGTTCAGTGAATGCTCCTGGCTCTTGACTGGAACATCACTTCTGGCGGTACTCGGGGACTATCTGGGATGCCCGGGATTGAACCTGCGTCCGCCATGTGCAAGGAGGCCCTACCCACTGTACTATCGCTCTGGCCCACAGATTTCCGAAAATTTTAAAATGAGTCATCTCATTGTGAGATGTCTAATGTAATGCAGGTTGATCAAAGGTTCATTTCTTTTTATTTGACACCTGGTTTGACTTTCTGAGTATTTGTCAGACCACAGGCCAGATAGTCCGTGGGTAGGACGCTTGGCTTGAATGTGGCCTGCCCAGGTTTAGTCCCTAGCACCCCAGAGTCCCCTGAGCCATGCCAGGAATGTTCTCTGAGCATAGTCAGGAGTAAGTCTTGAGTGTTGCCAGATGTGGCCCATACAGTTTACGTGTGTGTGTATGTATATACATATATATGCACACATACATATATACATACACATCACATGTACACACATATACATATATACCCATGAAAAGCCCTAACATTTCCAGCTTTTCATTCTAAGCCCTTCATCTTATCAGTGTCACTATCCACACCCCTCTAAGATACTGGTAACAGTCATCATCCTAACTGTCATAGAGAAGTTTTTTTAAGTTTGACTCCCCTGGCATTTAGAAATGGCATCATACAGTATGATAACTTTATATGTCTGGTTTTTTACATAACTAGTATTAAATGTAATAATTATTTTCCCATTATTGGATAACATTCTATATGTGAATATACTACAGTGTATGTCTATTCCAATGTTGATACACATTTGTGTTTTTGTTGGGGCATTATGCAGATTAGCTTTGAACATTCTTTTCGCATCTACTGTTTATGTTAGCATAGATGTATTTGTTTCTGTTGATCATGTATCTTTTGGGCAAGCAGTTTATTCTAGATGAGCATATATGTACTTCTTGTGTGGGTTGGGGATTCTGGGGATCCACGCATGGCAGTGATCAGGGTTTACTCTTGGTTCTGTACTCAGGCATCACTCCTAGTGGGCTCGGGACCATATGGGATACCAGGAATCGAACTCTGGTTGGCTGCATGCAGGGCAAGCAAACTTCCTACCCATTGTACTATCTCTGGCCACCTGTCTTTTTTTTTTTTTTAACTACCTTTCATGAGACTTAAAGTCTACTGAAATGGAAAAGTATTGGTGGTGGTGTGTTGGTTTAAAAGTTGAATAGGGGGAAAAATTCTCAGAACCTTAAGCTGCAGTTATTGAGTCCTTGATATCCTTGATGTGCTGAGTGTTTCTTGTGTGTTATTTCACCCAAATGCCCTTCAAAAGCTCTTGGGAAACTAGTATTTTGGAGATAACATATTGTCTAGGCATTGGGAGATAGCCCAGTGGTCAGAAAACTTGCATTGAATTCAGATGGATTTGAATTTGGTCCCTGCGCTACATGATCCTTCAGCACTGCCCTGTTGGTTTCTGACCCTCCCAGGTGTGGTCCTGGTATCCTCCTGCAACTGAATTGCTGGGACCAAGCAATAGGGTAATCTGGCCCAGTAGGAATATCGCTGAGAGTGACCTTTGGGCCTCCTAAGAGGTGGTTCCTCACCGCCACCCAGAACTGCTCAACTTCACGGTTGCTTATATGTAGATGTCATAATTTTAACTATCATATATTATCCAGCTTAAGTGTAGATATTTGAGGACATATGGTAATGGCAAGAATAGTAAATCAGCTATTCTTTTATTTCTCCATTGAGCTTAAAATATGCCACTTTCAGTATCCCTTCTTTCTCTCATCCTACATTTCTCAATTCTATGAACCCTCTAAGTACTTATCTATAAAAGAAATGACCAGAGGAATACAGGTTACATTTTCAGTTGAATTTGTTTCTCCTATTACAGAAAAAACGCAGTGAGATTCCCTGTTACTGGGAAAATCAGCCAATGGGATGTCAGAAACTCAATTGTGCTTTCCATCACAACAGAGGACGTTATGTTGATGGACTATTCCTACCTCCAAGCAAAAGTAAGGTCTACTTCTGATTTTAGAAGAGTAGTTGTGGGAACTAGAGAGATCCTACAGGGTGGAGGTGGTTGGTCTTACAAACTGCCAACTGTGGTTCAGTCCCCCGCACCATGTATGAACACTACCAGATGTGGACACAAACCCTCTGTAAATAAAAGCCACGTCTAGGGGGAGTTGGCTCAAATGGCTGGAGCACCTGCTTTGCATGGGGGAGTTTTTGGTTTAATCCCCAAAGACACGTGGTTCCCAAGCATCCAAGTATATGCTGCCGCTTCTTGTCGTCAAAATGTGGTGGCTACATGTATTCAGCTTTATTTAAAGAATAAATAAATAAAATATTTAAAAAGTACTACCTGCTACTTTGATGAGCAAAAAATATAGACTATTAGTATTAAAATTAAATGTCTAGAATTTGCGGTAACTGTGCATCTAGCTTCCCTTTTATGTGGACCCCTTCTAGTTGATGGACTTAAAGTGATAGCTACTGGCTAAAAGTCACGTTATCTCTTCATGAGAATATGGAACCTTATATGGACAAGTAATGTAGAAAGACGTGTCCGTAGGAAATGCACCAAACTTTCTTTAACTGTCCCCTCTTACTCTGTGTCTGGTTTGTGTAGCTGTATTGCCCACTGTACCTGAGACAGCGGAGGAGGAAGTGAAAACTAACCAGCTCACAGCTCAGCAGAACAAGCTGTCTGTCCAGTCTAATCCCTCGCCCCAGCTGCGGAGTGTTATGAAAGTAGAAAGCTCAGAAAATGTTCCGAGCCCAACACATCCTCCAGTTGTGATAAATGCTGCAGATGACGATGAAGATGATGATGGTAAGATTTAGCTCTCCTCTTTCTTTTTTCTTTTTTTTTTTAAGGCAAAAAAGTGATCAGAATCACTAGACAAAATCAGGGTTAAAACTGAGCATGTTCATGATTGTAAATTTGCCTTAAATGTTGATGCGTAGATCAATATTCTGAAGAAGGTGATGAAACCAAAGCCCCTCTCTTGCAACCGACTCCTGAAGTTCATAATGGATTACGTGTGACTTCCGTCCGGAAACCTGGGGTCAATTTAAAACAAGGTAAGGGGTGGGGGAGGTGCTTATTGTTGCTTGTTCCTATGCAAAAACAGTCTTTAATGTTATTGAATGTGTCTAAACCTTTAAAAAAATTTAAATTTTTTAATCACTGCCACTTTCCTGCCCACACTTTGCCCACCACCTGCTTTCTTTGCATTCGGAAACATTTGAAAGATTGTTGTAGTAAATGCAAACCTCATCCCTCGCATTATTTTTGTGTTTATCAGGTGAATGTTTGAATTTTGGAATCAAAACTCTTGAAGAAATCAAGTCAAAGAAAATGAAGGAAAAATTGAAGAAGCAAGGTGGTAAGTCAGTGGGAATTTGTGTGGAGGAGTCATTGGGCCATACCCAGGAGTGCTCAGGGCTTACTCCTGGCTCTGCTCAAAAATCACTCCTGGTACTGCTCAGGGGACTCTGAGGTACTAAGGGATCACCCCTGGGTCAGCATGTACAAGGCAAAGCACCTTACTCACTGTACTATCTGTACTTGGGAATTTAGACACAAATATGTGAATCTAGATAGGAATAACACTTCCGTTCGTAAAGATGCTTGATAAAGCTAAAATGACCAGATAGGTATTTCTGTGACTTATTTGAACTAAAATACTTTCTGGCTTTTGGGGCATACTTGGTGATAAGGCTTAAGGGTTACTCCTGGCTGTGCTCAGGGGACTACACGAGATGCCAGAGTTTGAACTTGGTTCGGCTGTGTGTAAGTCAAGTGCCTTATCTGCAGTACTGTCTTTCTGGCTTCCAGAATTAAAACACTTTAAATGATGGTTGCTTTCTAAAACTCATGTTTTAGTTCTTAGCTATTGAGAGCTAAACACATTTTAAAGAGCATAAAAAAATTCTTTTGGTGTGGGTGCACATCCTGCAGTGCTCAGGGCTTACTCCCGGTTCTGCACTCGAGGGTCGCTCCTGGCTGGCTTGGGGGATCATATAGAGTGCCAGGGATCAAAGCCAGGTCAGCTGTGTGTACAGCCTGCTCCCTGCCCACTGTATTATCTTTTTGGCCCTCTCAACTACCATCTTGCTAGAGTTTGTTCTATTAGAGATGATGGGATTATATTTGCAAATGATTGAATATAGGTGAAAAATGCCTATTTAGTTTTAGAATCTTCACTCTGTTTGCAACGGAAGTAGATTAAGTGCCTGTTAGGTATGTGACTTAATGTTACGAGCATGTGCCTCACATGTGTGAGGTCCTGAATGGGTTCACTCCCTGGCATTGCTTTTTTTTTTTAATTATCTTTACATTGTACCCAGGAGAGATAAAAAATGGGGAGTATATTCTCTTTCCCCTACTACCCAGGAACAGAAACTGATTGACTAACTTAGAGGGACCAGCGGTGTGTATTGGACTTGTCATAGAAACAAAGTTGGCTTGCATTAGCTGTATTTTCCATATATGATTCACTGATCTTTGACTTGGTTTGTTCAGAAGGTTCTTCAGGAGTTTCCGGTCTTTTACTACAACCGCAACCCGTTCCAGGACCTGAGAAAGAGAATGTCCGGACTGTGGTGAGGACAGTAACTCTGTCCAACAAACAAGGTGAGATGCAGGGAGTTCCTCAGCATTGTCACTCTAGGAGGGAGGTGGGAGACAGTAGGGTTGGGGTTGGGAACAGGGACTGGGGCTGCGGTTGAGGGAAGAGGATCTCTGGAGGGTGTGATGCCCAACCCTCCTGTTAACAGCATTGTAAACCGCAGAGCTGCAGATGAAATAACATTTGAAAAGTTTCACTTTACCTTTAAATAACTGATGGGCAAAATTCTTGGGCATATTTTACTTTGGAATTGCAGGGTGATTTTTGGGTTTTGTACTATTTGGAGAATTAGAGGGAAAATTTACTTCTTCCTGGTGGTCAAGGAGACATGACAGTGGAGTAGAATTGTCTTTTATCTGACAGACCAAAGTGCTCAGATTAAGAGCATCGTGCAGCTCTCATAGCCAGTGGTTGGAACATTGTTGCGATACTAATTGATAATAATCAGGACTATACCTTCTCTGTGATCTGTACATTTGTCTGAAAATTGTTTAATAGGTTAAGAGCTTTGTTTGTCATAGTCTTCCTTAGGATTGGACTGTTGTCTCTCCAGACTGACTGGGTGGACTCAGTACCAAAGCATACTTTGGTAGCCCTGAGAATTTACTGAATACATAAAATTGACTGATGGTAAAATCTTTTTTTGCTATTTCAGAAGAGCCGTTGGTAAGACTGAGTCTCACTGAGAGACTAGGGAAACGAAAATGTTCTATTGGTAAGTAGTTTTGTGTTTAATTCTCTTGCACATGCAGTAACGTACCTCCTCTAAAACTCGTCACACAAGTGCCCCGTGGGTGTGAGTTTGCTAGTGCCCCTCTGTTTGTGGTATGCTCTGCCTCTGAAGTTGTAAAAGTGCAGTGTTACATTTTAATTCAGTAATAGCAGAAGAGGGCTTTTTGTTTTTGTTTTTTTCTTTTCAGAAAACACTGAAAAGAATTGGAAAGGAAGACAGGGAAGCTCCCATGTATGGGAGACAGATACCCGGAAAGTTTTGTTGTTGCTTTGGGGTGGGGGTACATCTGATGGTGGTCAGGACTTTTTACTCCTGGCTCTGCACTCAGGAATCACTCTTGGCGGGGCTCAGGGGACGCAGGGGATCGAGCCCAAGTCACCATGCACAAAGCAGGCACCTTAACCCACTGCACCATTGCTCTGGCCCCAGAAAGATTTCTTAAAAGTCGGAACGATCACCTGTTTCAGTGGACAAATAGATTGGGGTAGGAATGGACCACACTTGGCAGTGCTCTGGGACCCTTGAGAGTTGCTCCTTGTGGTGCCCCAGGAACTGTGGGATGCTGGAGAGCTAAAAGATCTAACTGGCATTGGTCATGTTCAGCTAACCATGTGCTGTTTGTCTGACCAGAAATTGAAATCTTAATAGAGGGGGAAATGTACCCTCTTAATAAAAATTTGGTTTTTAGGGGCTGGAGTGATAGCGTAGGGGGTAGGGTGTTTGCCTTGCACATGGCCGACCCAGGTTTGATTCCCCGATTCCCAGCATCCCATATGGTCCCCCAAGCACCGCCAGGAGTAATTCCTGAGTGCATGAGCCAGAAGTAACCCCTGAGCATCATCGGGTATGACCCAAAAAGCAAAAAAAAAAAATGGCTTTTAATGCCACTTCTTTCGTATTTAGTGCAAAGTATTTTTACTATATTACTGAATTGTGGTGATATTTCTTGCCTAGTATATCTGTTTCAAAAGAATTACTTTGACAAACCTTCAGAGGGTTGTTTTTTTCTTTTTCTTTTTTATTGACTCACTGAGCTACAGGAACAAAATTTTCACGTTTGAGTTTCAGTCATAGAATGATTGAACACCCATTCCTCCACCAGTGTATATTTTCCACCACCAATATCCCCTGTGAGGACTGTTTTTTTTGTTTGTTTTTGGTTTTTTTGTTTTTTTAAAGAAAAAAAGACCTCTTGGTTTTTTGAACCACACCTAGTGGAACTCAGGACTTACTCGGGGCTCTGTAATCAGGAATCACTCCCAGGAGGCCATATGGAATGCTGGGTATGGAGCCTGGGACAATGGCTGTAAGGCAGTGCCCTCCCCGCTGTACTCTCTCTCTGGCCCCATTTACTTTGTGAGTGTGTTTGTCTGAGCCACAGCCTAGCCCACTAGACTGTCTGTTCCCCATGCCAGTGCCCGGCTCCACCCTGGCCCTGATCTCCTGAGCACATAGCACAGCCAACACTAGTACTTGGAAGTAGGAAAACTGGTCTGGAGTGAGTTGAAAGTGAGAAATACAGAGATAAGGTTCCATTGGTCTGTGTGTTTTTGTTTTTTTTAACTTATTTTTTTTTTAATTTTACTGGATCACTGTGAGATACAGTTACAAGTTTTCATGATTACGTTTTTTTAGTCATACAGTGATCGAGCACCCATCCCTCTTCTGGTGCACATTTTCCACCACCATCACCGTTGGTCTGTTTTGTTTTAACTTGTGCCCTGCCCAGGATGCTCCACCCCTCTTGTTTTCCTTGAAATAAGATACCTTAATATCAGCACACATGAACTTTGGATTTTTTAGGTTTTGGCTCACCCTCGACAGTGCTCAAGACTTACTCCTAGTTCTACACACAGTCCTTATGGGGTGCCAGGGATTGAACCTGTGTCAGCCATGTGTAGGGCAAGCAACCTACCTACTCTACTAGGGCGCTAGCCCCTCATAATAAATTATAAATGGGAGAGTCATATGACCCTTCCTTGTGATGAGGGTTTTTCAAGTTATTAACGAGACTGCAAAGATAAGAACTTGGACCCAACAGTGCTAAGAGTTGAAACAACTGTGAGCAGTTGAGCAACTTGTGTTACATAGTGTAAAACAGTAACCAAGAGTTAGGGCTGGAGATAGTACAGAGCTCTTGCACACAGCTGACCCGGGTTTCAACCCCAGCATTTCATGGGGTCTCCAAAATCCCCTCGGGAGCGATCCGAGTCCAGACCCAGGAGTAAGCCCTGAGTATCACTGGGTGTGGCTCAAACTCTCCCCCAAGAGTCAGGAAACTTGGCTCAAGTTTCAACTTTATCACTAAGTGGTGACTTGGGTAAAATAATCTTTCTTGACTTTAGAGTCCTTCCCTGAAATTGATCTTCAGATCATCTTGTGCAAAAAAAGTTTAAGTGTTGTTTTGCTTTTATCCTGGTCACCTGGGTGCATTTAACCATAAGTTTAATTAGTATCTAGCAGGTAGCCAGTTAAGATTTATTTTGTATATGAGAGTTATGGGTTTTTTTTACTCTTAATTTCTAGTGAATTTCTATCTCAATCCAGACGTACAATCCTACTATTATTTGTCATTTTACTTAGTTACTTGGTAAATGTTGATTATGTGTTCTAATTTTTTGTCCCTATTTCTGTCTTTTATGAGATTTTGATTATTGAGATTTAAGGACTGTCTTGAACGACCACACCATATCAATATAGAAAATTAAGAAAATTAGTTTACATTATCTCTTTTCACTTGTATTTCTTGACTTAAGCTCTTCAGCTAAGTTACCTCTGTTTGTAGGTGGTGACTGCGACCTTCCCTTGAAACGCAGCCTTGCACAAAGGCTAGGGAAGAAAGTGGAAACTCCAGAAACTAATATTGACAAAGCACCAAAGAAAGGTACTTCTCTGTTCATGCGCTGTGTTACATGATAAGACTTGTCTCATAATAGTGGTTGGTCTCTTAATACTGTTTTGTTTGGCATTTTTGTTCTTTTTTTTGTTTGTTTTGAGGGCCACATCCCCTGGTACTTGATTCTGTCTCTGCATCAGAGATCATTTCCCTGAGGGTCAACAAACAAAATGGGGTATGAGTGTGGGGTGGTGTTCAGCAAGTGCCTTTTACCTGCTGCACTAATTTCTCTGACTCCTAGAGACTAATGTGTAGAAGTTCGTTCTTGGGGACACTGTTGTATTTTCAAAGCAGGAAAGAGTTTACTCTGAAAACCAGCTTGTCTTTCTCTGCCTGTGAATCATATTGAAGACTAATAAAATCATATTGAAGACTAATAAAACTAAAGAGTGTATTTCAAATGAGCCAGAAAGAGAGGGACAGACATAGAAAGAGTGCACTCATCTGGGGAATATAAAGTAACAGAATGGGAGACGAACACCCAAGAATAGTTGAGATAAGTACCAGGAGGTCTGCTCCACAGCTTAGAAGCCGGCAGCACATGCTGGGGGAAGAGGCAGCTCAGATAGAGAAGGGAACACCAAGTAAAGGATGATGCGAGGTGCATGCTGAAAGTAGACTATAGACTGAACACGATGGCCACTCAATACCTCTATCGCAAACCACAACACCCTAAAGGAAAGGGAAAGCAAAAGGGAATGCCCTGCCACAAAGGCGGGGTAGTAGGGCTACTGGGATCATTGGTGGTGGAGGGATGGGTAACTGATTATCGTATAACTGAAACCCAAGCATGAAAGTTTGTAAGTCTACAACTGTACCTCATGGTGTTTTCATTAATAAAAAATAAGTTATATATTTTTAAAAAGTATTTCAAGTAGATTCGGGGAGCAGGTGGAGCCTTTTAATGCTGATCTGATTTCAGAAGGTTGTATGGTAACAAAATTAATTTCCTAGCTATTTTAGTTTTTGCTTTTTAGATAAACAGATTATTTAGAGCTTTCCAGATGCCCTAAGGAATCAGTGCTTCTATGAAAAATTTAAGACCTTGAGATTATTCAAAGGGCAAGGATGTGACTCAGTGGTGGAATGCCGGCCTTGCATGTGTGTGTCTTGGGTTCCATTCTTGAAACTGCACACCCACCAAACTGCTGGATTTGACCAACTTGATACCAAAATATATACAAATGTTCAGTTTTTTTTCTAGGGTATTTGCGTTTGAAGATAGTATAATTTGTTAAAAACAGTAGTTGAGGGGCTGGAGAGATAGCACAGCGGGTAGGGCATTTGCCTTGCATGCGGCCGACCCGGGTTCGATTCCCAGCATCCCATATGGTCCCCTGAGCACCGCCAGGAGTAATTCCTGAGTGCAGAGCCAGGAGTGACCCCTGTGCATGGCCAGGTGTGACCCAAAAAGCAAAAAAAAAAAAAAAGAAAAAGATAGTTGAAAGGCAAAGATAGTAATAGCGGGTTGCCTTGCACACGGCCGAGTTAGGTTGATCCCTGGCATCCTATATGATCCCCCAACATAGCCAGGAGTGATCCGTGAGCACAGAGTCAGGAGTAAGCTGTGACCACCCGTGCATGTGGTCAAAAATAAATAAAAGGTATTGACTTCAAAAAAGTTTGTTTCTCTTGACTTTTTGTTTTAATCTTTTTTTTTTTAAGCTCAAGTTTACAAGTCTCTAAAGGAGCGATTAGACTTGTCAGCGTGTCCAAACAGTGAGGAGACAGCAGGTAGGTAAAAGGCCAGCTTCTACCGCAATCTTTTCTTGCCTGAAAAATGTTTACCTTTTTTTTTTTTAAGCTTTACATGTAGGACATCCAAATTCAATCCCAGAACCACATGGTACCCTCAGCACTACAACAGTCAAAGTCTTTATTTTCTCTTAAATTTACGTATTATCCAAAACAAATTTTTTTTATTAAAAAAATTTTTTAATAGTGAGACTTAATGAGGTACAGTTGCAGACTTACACATTTTTGTGCTTGGGTTTCAATTATACAATGATCAAATACCCATCCCTCCACCAGTGCCCATTTCCCACCACCACGGATCCCAGTATCCCTCCCACCCTCCACCTCCCCCATCCCACCCTGTCTCTGTGGCAGGGCATTCCCCTCTGTTCTCTCTCTCCTTAAAACAAAAATTTTTTTTAATTTGCCAATTGCAGTGGGTTTAGGGTTTTATTTTTTTGCTGTTAAAGATTGTAAAGTGATTGTTGACGACAGTTCTTAGGAAATTAGAAATTGCAAGTATCCAACAAAAAAAATCTGATTATCAAAATAAAGGTCATTTGTGTACTATAATGACTGCTTTTATTAAAAATAATTCTGGAGGGTGGGAGTGATAGGATAGCAGGAGGGAGTTGCCTTGCACATGACTGATCCAGGTTTGAGTCCCAGCATCCCATATGGTCCCCTGAGCACCACTAGGAGTGATTCCTGAGTGCAGAATCAGGAGTATGCCGAGTATAGCCAGGTGTGACCCCCCCCCCAAATTTTTTTAATTAAAATAGTCATTCTGGACATTAATGATGAGGAAAATTTCTCCTGCAAAAGAAAAGTCACTTTTGATTTAGGGCAACCTTAGAATCTCATTAGGAATGAACTTTATTATAGAAACTTTGTATTCCAGTTTTGTTTTGGGGGGGGGCGGGGACTATACTTAGCAGTGCTCAGGGGCTGCTCCTAGCTCTGCACTCAGGAAGCACTCTTGTAGGTGCTCGGGGGACCATCCGTGCTGCTAAGGGTCAGACAGCGCACACTTTGCTGTGCTGTCATTCTACCCCGATTCCAGTTTTGTAAAGATGATTCTAATTTTGTAAAGATGATACATTTCTGGGCTTGAGTGATAGCACAGCGGGTAGGGTATTTGCCTTGCATGCAGCCAACATGGTCGAACTGAGTTTGATTCCTCCGCCCCTCTTGGAGAGCCCAGCAAGCTACCGAGAGTATCTCGCCCGCACAGCAAAGCCTGGCAAGCTACCCATGGTGTATTTGATATGCCAAACACAGTAACAAGTCTCATGATGGAGATGTTACTACTGCAAATGGATGAACAACAGGAGGACAGTGATACAGTTGATACATTCCTAGAAAAAGAAGTTGCCAAAAGCCCTCCAAAATATAAACATAGACTTTGAGTACTGATATTATATTTTTATTCTTTATGTTATTTCTATACTTCGTGGTTTTTGGTGTTTAGGTCATACCAGCTGTGCTCATACCATACTCTTGGCTCTGTGCTTAGGAATCATTCCTAGCAGGTTTGGAACATACGCTGTGTGCCAGGACTGGAGACATAGTGCAGTGGACAAGGCATTGCCCTTGCATGGGACTGACGTGGTTTGAGCCCTGGCATAATTCTTGTTTCCTGAGTATCATTTGGTTTGACCCAAAACCTGTCCCCCACCCTTCCCCCCACCCCAAGAAAAAAAAGTCCAGGGAGATAGCACATGCTTTGTATGCAGGGGCCTTACTATAGTACCCCCACTGCCCCCTAGCCCCAAAGCTGAAGCCCCCAAGCATCACCAAGTGTGGCGCCAATTTTTTTTTTTGTAAATGTTCTTTAAGGGCATGCATGCACACACACATACTTCTTCCCCCACCCTCCCCTCAATCAGAGATAGGGGGTAACGGGCTGAGCACATGCTTTGGAGGAGGCCTGGATTTGATCCCCCACACCACATGGTCCTACTCTGGAGCTCCTAGCCAGAAGTGGTGGCCTCCAACCCAAAGAGTTCTCAGTAGCATGCTAGTTCTGAACATTTTTCTTGTTTTATCAGGTATACTCCTTTTCCTCTAAGTATTACTTATGTACAGAGCATCTTGGAGCCGATTTCCTTATCCAGTGCCTGAACAGAGAGTAGTGTTTTTGCTAGAAACTTGCTTTTTATAGCAAAATGTCTAATCAAAACTGATATCATTACCATACTTTTCTGTTGCTTGATTTTAGTCCTTTAGAGGTGGTGGAATTTTTGTTGTTTTGGGGGCCACAACTAGTGGTGCTCAGGTTACTCCTTGCTGGATGCTCTGGAATCATTCCCATGTTGCCTAGAGGACCATGCTGTGCTGAACATCCAGCCTGAGCCGCTGTGTGCAGCGATAACCCGCCAGCTTTCTGTGCTGGCTCCCCAGCCCTAGAGGTTGGGTTTTTGTGGTGGTGGTGGTGGTGGTGGGTTTTTTTTTTTTTTTTTATTGAATATCTGTGAGACAGACCATTACAAAGTTGTTCATGATTGGGTTTCAGTCATACAGTGATGCAACACTCATCCCTTCAGTGTGTATTTCCTACCATATTTTCCCCCTTTTCCCCCCCACCACTCCCCACTGCTCCCACACCCCAACCTGACAGGCACTTTTCTTTGTCTCTGTCCTTTTGTGCATTACCCTTTGCAATACAAGTACTAAGAAGTCATCATGTTTGTTCAGGGTGTTCAGTATTTTTATCGGGAAGGTAAGGCTAAAGTAGCTCTTTTAACTGGGTGGCAGCTTTAGGGTGTGAATGTGACTGCTGAGGCTTCTGCAAGTACAGGAAGGTGGGGGGAGGTAGTCCATCCTGACCCTGAGAAAGCCTGGAGATTTCAGTCACAAAACCGCACACCCGAATTTTCAGCAGATTATATCTCAGTGAAGTCCATCCCCGCTGGGGGCATGTCCGCGATTTTGAATTGTGGAAGCAAGTGGCTATCAGGGACTCTGCTTCGGCAGGCACCAGGCTGACCTGTCTCCCTTCCTATTTACTCTGTTCAGCCTTGTGCGGTGTCCAAGATTAACTGCAGCTTTTAATGACTGTTAATCTCTTTCAAGATTTATTTCTGAGTCCCTGAAGTAAAGCCGATAAATAAGCTTGTATAGCTGAGCCGGAGGTGGTGTGTGGGCATGGCTCCCACATAACTTTCGGCAATCTAATTTCTCAGGCGACTTAGTCCTGAGTTGTTGAGGTCAGGCCAGAGACACAGCGGCAGTTTTTGAGGTATCAGGAAGCCTAAAGGCACCATCAAGGATGCTAATGTACTTGCCACATGGGTGCAGGTTGACCTGGTAGCATCGCATCCCGACATAGAGCTGTAATTATCAGTATGCTTTATAATGACATATTTCCCAAATTTAAAAAGCTTTCAGACTCCTTGAGAATAAGCTTTTGAATTGAAGTTTGGATCAGTAATTCTTGACTTTTAAGTGTTCCCCTCCCCTCTTCTTACTCCTTAGTGCCCCGATCCACTGAGGTCAGAATGTGTAAATTTTGGGGGCCGGGTGGGAGGATGCCATGCTAAGTGGCGCTGAGGGCTTAGTTCTGGCTCTGTACTCAGTGATGGATCACTGCTGGCAGGACTCAGGGAACCACATATGGTCTTGGGAATCAAACCCAGATCAGCCACGTGGAAGGCAGTGCCTTACCTGTTGTACTGTAGCTCTGGTCCAGAATTAATATATACTCGTGTGTGTGTGTGTGTGTGTGTGTGTGTGTGTGTGTGTGTGTGTGTTTGTCACACCTAGAGATGTCCCTGTTCTAAATCAGGAATTACTCCTGGCATTGCTTCGGGGGGACCACATGGGATGCTGGGGATTGAACCTGAATTATCTGTGCAAGGCAAACATCTGCCCACTGTACTATCAGCTTGGCCCCAGAATTAATATACTCATAACTTCTGCCTAATGATGCTACTCTACTGGACTGTTCTTATCCAAAAATAGATCCTTAGTCACTAAGAGATGAGCTCCAAGTACAGTGACTTTTCCCCCCCCTCTCATGAAACAGAAAGAGTTCATAAGGTTGGTGAGATCCATGTGAAGACACTGGAAGAAATACTTCTTGAAAGAGCCCACCAGAAACGTGGAGAATTTCAAACTAAACTCAAAACGGAAGCACCTTCAAAAGTTGAGGATTCTGCTTCTGGACCAAGAAGCTCCTCCACCATCCGAATCAAAACCTTCTCTGAGGTCCTAGCTGAGAAGAAACACCGGCAGCAGGAGGCAGAGAGACAAAAAAGCAAAAAGGATGGAGCGTCCATTAAGCTGAAGACTGATAACGAAATGAAAAAAACTGTGGTTTTCCCTGCTACTGTTGCCAGCAGAGGACAGCCGGAGGAGCCTTCAGGGAGGAGCAGGTCCATCCAGGAGGTACGCATCAAGACCCTGGAGGAGATCAGGATGGAGAAGGCGCTCCGCGTCCAGCAGGGCCCAGAGAGCTCCACCAGCTCCCCGCTCCAGCCCGAGGCCACCCAGGGCACACGGCGGATGCTTCGGATCACCAAAAAAACAGGTAACCAAAGAAATGGTAAATATTTCTTCAAAGAGCGGTCAGTGTACACAGGATGTTTGTAGGATTTCTCAGAGTTTTTCTTTCACTGGGATCAGTTTGAAAATCACTGGCATAAATCAAGCCCATTCTTTACAGCAGTATTATCTAGATTTTTGATACATAAGTAAATACATAACGTTCTGATACATAAGTAAATACATAACGTACTTGTTTGTGGTACAAGGAAATTGAATTCTGGCCTCATTCATACAAGGTAAATTGTCACTGTCTGACCCCTGAGTTACACCTCCGCTCTTAGGTCACTGCGATTTTGATGTGCATTTGGAAACACTTGGAGGACCAGCAGGCTTTTTTGTTTTTCCTGTTTTATCATTACTTTCATTCAGGAACATTTGGTTTGTGCAGGAGTTATAAGGGTCTGAATGATGCTTTGCATGTGGGACGCTCTAGTTTGGCCAGGTGCGAACCAAAACCAAACAAGTTGTGTTTTACCTATCATAAAATTGCAGTCCTTAAAGAAATAATTGGTGTGTTTAATGTGAATAGGTTTAAAAGAGGAAAAGAAACTTCAGGAAGAAAGTGAAGTTGCTTCTCAGAGCAGTGTAACTAGAACAGAGGCGAAAGAGGTAAGTTTATGAAAAAATCACTTAATAATTTTGTTCCTGGCAGGCAAAAGCTGAGATGAATGATAAAATATGCTTTGTATTTTCAGCTTATAGTAATTATTTTGACATTTCACTCATTTGTTAGGTAAAAGAATATCTCATACTATGAACTTCCATTATACTTTCTATATGAGTTTATCATTGTTCACTGCCTGAAGTAGTGGAGTTTTATGTTTGTTTGAGGGGACCATACCTGGCGGTGCTTAGGGAGTACTCTTGACAGGACCTGGGAGGCCAAATTGGGTGCTGGCAGTTAAACCTGGGTTAGCCACATGCAAGGAAACACCTGTTGTTCTATTGGTCCTGCCTCTAAAGTTGTTGTTCTAATTGGCCATTTATATTTATTAAAATATTACTGAGGTTTTTCCTCAAGCCTTTGAGAGTAATTCCACTCGTTATACAAAACTTGTAATTCTTTTTAAAAGAGTTAAATCTGTCCGTTAGTTTTCTCATAAATTCATTTAACTTTCATTTATACACCTGTGTACATAAGCTTATTGTTTAACTCTGTTCAGAGTATAAGTGAGTACTCTATGGTGCATTACTTTGAATCCTACTTTAACTTTATAATGTTAATTCTTAGATTTTTACATTTTTACTAGCGTCCTGTTATACAAATTTAGTCTTGTTGACATTTAGGTTTTGTATTACACAGTAGATTTAATATTTTGGGGGAGTTGGTGAGATAGTACTGTGATTTGGGTACTTGCTGATTCCCCAGAATTCCTTATGGTCCCTTGAGCATCTCCAGATGTCGCCCAAAAACAAAAAAACACTTTTGTACGTAAATAGTCACGCCAGTGAGGGTGGGTAAGATAGAGAGGATAGAGAAGAGACCACTATGACAAGAATACCTGGGAATGATCACGCTGGACAAGCTCTGTGTTCTGTATCATATGAGCTCGGCTTGATTATATGTTAGCCTAGTAATAATTGTACAGATTATTAAATATGCTAGATTTCAATTCTCATTTAAATTTTTCCTTAGACTTCAGATGAGTCCACAGAAATTGGCATCAGTAAAATTCAAGCCAAGAGATGTGAGACCACGAGAGAGAAATACATGCCGAAGCAGCCAGAGAAGGGAACTTCACAGGAGGAGTTGGCAGTTTTGACACCCCTTCAGGGAGACATCAGCAATACCCCAGCGGCTGAGAAACCTGTCCTCGCTCCTGTGGCCGGCCCCATGCGGCACCCGGCAAAGCGACCTCCCGTAAAGTCATCCCAGAAGGCGGAGGTGGAAACCTCAGGGATCGGCGACTCTATACTGAATGTGAAAACTGCGGCACAGGCCTTGGAGAAAAGGGGTAAAGGTAAGAGTTCTTGGCAGCACGTCTTGTTTTAGAACTTCTTAGGCTTTGGTGGCATTCTGGCGTTAAGTCCATTGTGTTAAATTTTATTTGTCTCATATATTTGTTAAATATATGTGTCATATATATGATAATTCTATTTTGAAAAACAAAACTAGGTTCAATCCCTGATACCTCATTGTCCCACCAAACCCACCAGGAGTGATCCCTGAGCACAGAATAAGGAATAAGGTGTGAGCACAGCCTGGTGTGGCCCCAAAACTACAAACGACACTAGATGAGTTTCTTTCTCAGAATTGAAATTGCTTTTAAAAAAAAATCTGTCTTGAGGGCCATAGAGATAGTCCAGTGGGTATGGAATTTGCCTTTTTACATGTCTGACCCATGTTCCTGAATCTCAGAGGGCCCACTGAGCCCCGCCAACAGTGATCCCCCAATCCTCCCAAATGCATAGGTCGTGTTCTCCCCCCAGCCCCCACAAATTCTTAATTTGGGACTGGGTGTGGTTCATCTTTACTCTCCTTGTGAAGAAGAAAAACACTGGAGAGGGGGTAAGAGACGATAGTACAGTGGGTAAGACGCTTGCTTGCATACTAATATCCAGGTTAGTTTCTGACACGCCATGAAATTCCCTGAGTCCTCCAAGAGTGAGCCCTGAGCACATCTGGATGTGGCCCAGATGCCAAAAAACAAAAGAAAAACAGTAGAAAAATACGTAATTCCCCACCTCTGGTGGGATATATAGTTGTTTATGCTAGTGTACAGCGCGGGTTGCTTATGGTCACTTCGCTTTTGTGTGTTGTTTTAAATTTACGGTATTGGTAGTACTGTGAAGAAATCTCAAAACCTATTATTAACGATGCAAAATGTCAATTATTCCAGCTATTAATCCCATATCTCCTGTTGATTGTAGCTAAACCCAAAGTGAATGTGAAGCCATCTGTGGTTAAGGCTGGTTCCTCTCCTAAAGTCGCCCCGAAACGCAAGGCTTCGGAGACCCACCCTGCTGCTGTGGCAGCTGTGCGGCCACTCAGCTCCGGCAGCGCCGTAGGCGGAAGCCCAGCCAAGAAGGCAGCCTTGGTGAGTCAGCGCAGCTTGGTGGGGCTGCGTCTCTGGCAGGAAAAGTGGCAGATTCCGCCCGGTAGCTCTGTCTTTCCATTATGCTTCCTGCATGTTTAAGGATTTCAGTTGTCAGTTTCTTATTGTCTTTGACATTTCCTGCTAGACATCTACAAAGTGATAGGGCAGGATTTTTAAAAAGTTAACTTTGAGATGGCAAGATACTTTTCATATCATACACTTCAGACTTTCGGCATCCATGATTCTGAGAAGATAGCAGAAAAAAGTAATTATGCTCAAGCCTGACTCCCAGTGAATTACTCTCTATTTTTTTTTTTTCAGGCTGTTGTTCCAATTCTTTCTGAGGATCAGTCAGTCACTGTGCATGAGACAGAAAAATCCAGAGACAGGTAATGCCTTGTGATTCTTTTTAACCAGACTTGGGGCCACTATACTGTTTATAGCTCTGCTAAAAAGCTTTTACCGTTTAGCGGCATCCAGATCTGCAAATTTAATTTTAAGCAAGCATATTACTTAGGGTAGTTCTCCTTGATGCCATTCTTTTTAATTTTGCCTGTATTTTAATAATACCTGTGTGAAGAATTTCGTTTTAAAGGATGAACACGCCTTTTTCCCAAGTATTTATCTGTATTCCTAAGAAACTTTTTTTCCCCTTCTGAACAGTCCTGTGCTGCCGCCCATCCAGTCCTCTTCAGTTCCCTCCCCGCCGCCGGAAGTATCTGGTTCTTCTTCATCCCAGATGGCCACGAAAACCCGCCGACTCAGCTCTGCCTCAACAGGAAAACCTCCGCTCTCTGTGGAGGATGATTTTGAAAAACTGATATGGGAGATTTCCGGAGGCAAATTAGAAGCAGAGATTGACCTAGATCCTGGGAAAGATGAAGATGACCTCCTCCTTGAGCTGTCAGAAATGATTGACAGCTGAAGATGGCGGGAGAATAACAAACGAGAAAGGAAAAGAAAACTCGCCAAAAAAACTGGACCTACTTTAATCTATTATTATAACACTTACCCAAGATGATTGTTTTAGTCTAGAATTTGCCCCAAACCAGAAGTATACCTCTGAATAATTTTATATGTGTCCTGGATTCCTTGGGGTCAGATTTCTTAAATCCCTTAACAACCATTTTACCCATTTGATGCCATTGTTTAGCATCTGTGAGGGGGGAGGGGGGAAAAAAGTCTTATCCCTCTTGCTACAAAAGGACTGAGGAGGGAGATCCAAGTGAAAGGGTGCAAGAGAATTTAGTGACTCCTTGAGGTGTTTGTCGGTTTTAGCTTTTTCCCTTATGTTATTTGATTTCTTTCCTTATTATTGTACTTGATGTTTCCTGAGTTTCAAAAGGATGAAGACAGCTGCTACCATTGAGGACCAAATTTATCACTACCACTAAGCATCACCAACAAAAAAAAAAAATCCACCCAGTCTGTGTTAAACTGTATGTCTTTTTAGAGGTATTTGGAGAGCCAGCTAAGCTTTAGACAGGGCCCCGCAGTCAGGAGCCCAGTAGTTAGACTTAACTTTATGAATCTGATTTTCATGCTCCCACTGCTCTGTGTGTCTCTGAAGAGCAATAGCTAATTTATTATTACTGTAATTTTTAAAAGGCTTTAAAGTGCCTCAGGGGTCCTCTGAAACTAATTTTCTATTTCTGGGATTCCCTGGACTCTGGAGAGAGTTGACCTAATGAGTGGAATTCTCACTTCAGTGTGAAAAGTTGTCCCTTCTCCTCAGTACTTGCCTCCTCCTAACATTGAATTATCCAAGGAATAAAAAAAAAATGGTTTTAATCTTTTATTTCTAATTCGCCCAGCAAACTCCTCTTGCCCAGTATTTATTTGGTGCCCATCTCCCACCTACGGGGAAAAAAAACTCATGCAAGCTGCCAGTATTTGTGGGCGGTCACAGTACACTGGCTTGTACTGTTTCTGGGAATGGCCGAGTGCTCTGGGGGTGTATTGTATACCTTCCAGGGGTCCTCATTTCTGAACTGGAGTTTTTCCTTGATGTCGGTGTCCTTTATATCACCACAAGGTTTAGACTTGTAAAGAAACAAGTTATGATGGAAATAGTAGTCTTAAAAGGAGATTTCATTGTACATAATTAGAAGGAAGGGGAAAGAAGGACTTGTCCTTTTCGATACTTTGCTGTAGGTGGCCAGTTTTGTTTCTTATAGGGAAATCTGACCCACCTGTCATGTTGGCTCCTAAGGAACTGCTGTTATAAGCGGCTCATCAAGAGTTGAACTTCATGTAGCCTTGTTGGGAATACAGAAAAGGAAGAAAGCCACAGGACTGCCATTCAGTCTTGGGAAGTTCTGGATGATTCTGCACAAGCAAAATGACTTGAAGTTTATGTACAGACACCTCTACCAGTCCAGTCCATCTTCAGCTGACTGAATGTTGTATAATAACCCTTCTCCAAAGCAGGGTGGAATGTTCTGGTTTCACCACAGATTTTCTACTCACTTCATGTTTGGAATTGGCTTCAAGATTCCAAATCCCTTTTGTATATAATCGTATTTTGCTTTTTTAAAAGTAATTTTGTTTCATATTTAAAACCCTTGTATTAGTGATTTATGTTCAGCATTGTTTGATCCATTTGCCATTTCAGAAAGAGAAATACTTATTTGTGTTTTAAATAAAAATGGCATAGGAAAGTCTTGATGTTGTGAGTCAAGTAGTTGTGCATCTCTTCAGCCTAAGGTTTGCTGCTGAAATAGAGGCCCTGATCCTAATGTTGTCCTTCTGTAGAAGTCTTGCAGTTTCACAGACACTTGGCTTTAGAAACCTTCCTCCAGAACATGATGCTAGGGACCGGGGAGAGAGTACAGTGGGTGGGGCACTTGCCTTGTGTGCAGCCGCCTTCTCCCCGCAGCACCAGGGATGGTACCCTGAGCGCTATTTGAAGTGATCCCTGAGTACGACTGAGTGTGGCAAACATAATGCAGAATTTGCCCACAAGTGTGCTCGATGTAGATCACATAAGCTTTATATAAGAATAAGGATCATAGGGCTGGAGCTATAGTAGAGCATGTCAGGCCTTGGGTTCAGTCGCCAGCATCCCCTGTGGGCAACCTCTCAAGCACTGCCAGGAGTGATTCCAGAGTGCAGAGTCAGGAATAACCTCTAAACGCCACTCGGTGGGCCCAAAAAAAATTTTAAAAAGAACGTGGACTATAACTGCTTCCTGTGGATGCCATTCCAGGTGTTGCTCGGGAGATAACTCAGTGCTTGAAGGTACCACCTGGCAGTCCTTGGAACCATGCACTGCCAGGTATTGAACCCATGGCTTCTGCATGCAAAGCAGGTAGCTCCAGCTATCTCTCTAGCCCAGTTTCCCCCTCCCCCTCCCAAGCCACACCTGGTGGCGCTCAGGGTTTATTCCTGGCTCTGTGCTCAAGGATCTTCTCGGGATTGTATGTGGTGCCGGGAACTGAACCACAATCAGCTGCACGCAAAGGCAAGTACTAACCTCTACTCTTGTCTCCTGCCCCTAACCTAACCATATTGTTCAATGATTTTGCATATCCATTTTGACGTAGTCTATACTGTGATGGCAGGTCACTGGGTTTTTCTTGTTCTGTTTTCCCTGCCCGTGCCAGAAATGTGCACTAGTAACAAGGGCCTGTTTTTCAGTCTCTGCTGCAGTGTCAAATTCAGTGTGCTCAAAAAAAGAGAAGAAAGTACATTCTGAGGTGCGATTGGACTTAATTCAGAGTCTTTTAAGAGCTCTTTTCAGTTCTGATCGCAGGAAGCTGCTCCATACCACTGAGTGTTCTTATGCATCTGACTGCATTCAGAATTTATTATAGGTTGCTTTGATTTAGTTAGCAAAATAAGGGTTTGAGGGACTGGAGTGATAGCACAGCAGGTAGGGCATTTGCCTTGCACGCGGCCGACCCGGGTTCGATTCCCAGCATCCCATATGGTCCCCCAAGCACGGCCAGGAGTAATTCCTGGGTGCATGAACCAGGAGTAACCCCTGTGCATTGCTGGGTGTGACCCAAAAAAGCAAAAAAAAAAAAAAAGGGTTTGAGCACAACTCTATATATAGATAAGAATAAATATATATTAGATATAGAGTGGAGATGAAGATATTGTGAGAGATGTTGTTTGGGTTATACCTGACTCCTCAGTGGGCACCCCTTAGGACCACATAGATGCTTTGCCATGAATCAAATGGGTGAAGCACCTCAACCTCTATACTTCCTAGCCATAAGAGTTTATATTTTGAGAGATTAATTTAGATGCCAGATTTATTGAGACTTGTTTTCAATTGGATCGTTTGCTAGATTATAGAATCTTGAATCTGTGATGGTGCATAAAAAGCAGATTAATTTATTAATTGCTGGGAGCCAAGAGAGCTCTATGGGCGAGGCACCCTGCATCATATGGGATTCCAGGATTCTTTTCTGAACACCACATGCCTCCGACCCCCAGCACCCCTGGGAGCAACCTCCAAGTGCTTGCTGGGTGTGGCCCCAAAACTTAAGAAAACCAAACATGTTGGCCTGTCCATCGGCTTGGGGTCTTAAGACTCCATGACTGATTTGTCCTTGGGCGTAAGGACAAATCAGAGAGTTGTGTGAATGAGCAGCCAAGATGCAGAGACTGAAGAACTTAACAATGAAGGTAAGATGTTTAGATTAAAAACTATTTTGGGGTTGGAGCAATAGCACAGCGGGTCGGGCGTTTGCATTGCACGCGGCCGACCCGGGCTCGATTTCCAACATCCCATATGGTCGTCTGAGCACCGCCAGGAGGAATTCCTGAGTGCAGAGCCAGGAGTAACCTCTGTGCAGTGCCAGGTGTGACCCAAAAAGCAAAATAAATAAAAACTCCCGTTTGTTGAATAACAAGTGGAATAGGGAATGGGATAAATCAAAAACTGGGAAACAGGAAGAGAAATTTCAAGAGAAAGATGTGTATGGTTAGAACCTCACTTGTCTGAGTTCAGAGCACAAGGAGGGTGGTTGGTCCTATTTACAAAGCTACTGAGGGTCCAGCAGGTAGGGTACAGTGGGCCTTGGATGCAGCTGTCCCCAGGTTTAATCCAGAGCCCTGCCGATAATGATCCCTTAGTACAGCCAGTTGTGGCCACAAAACAAAAACTGGTATTTATACAAAACGGTATTTATATAGAATGGTAAATAGCTATAGAACTGTAAGAAAGGATGGAATCTTTCAATTTACTGCAACTCTGATGGAACTGGAGTATCTCACGTTAAGCATAGAGGGATAAGGACAAATAACACATGATCATTCTCTTCTGTGGTATATCAAGAAACTAACAAAGGAATAGATGGTATCAAGCGATGGCAAATCCTAGGTCCTGGATCACAAAACGGAAATTCAACATGGGGGGGGGAGCGTGGGGGCGGCAGGGAGGGGGGGATGAAGGTCTGGACAGGAAGTGACATGAGCTCATTGGAGGGGGCTATTGGGGGTGCTCCACTGTGGCCGTAAATGTCTCAGCCATAAATATTAACACTATTGTAAATAATATTAACAATTTTTTAATCTAGTGCCTTTAAAGTCCCTGCATGGTATGAGCCGGGGGACTGGGGGCGACTAAAACCTCATGGGAAGGGGGGCGTTTCGGTCCGCCCTTCACGCCCTACCGAGGCCACCAGTTGCCCCCCACTAGCGGCTCTCCAGCACGGCCACGACTCCAGAGCACAGAAACCAATTTCTTAACTATCTGACTTTCAGTAGAAATACTTCCAGGGTCAATAAGTAAAATAGCAGAAATCCAAAACCAACATATAATTCTTGAACCCAGCTGTAGACAGCAAATCACTTCACAATGCTTTGTCAGCATGTCTGACTTGGGGGGGTTGGTAAACTCTAAATAATAGTGGTGAATCTTTTATTGAAACAATGAATCTAATCAAAGCAGATAGAGTGTTAACTAGAATTCATCTGCCCCACAGGGACTGGGAGGGGTGGGGGGCGGGGTTTTATTGGGGTTCTTCATGGTAAAAAATAAGTTTTGGTAAAGGGAAATGTGCTTGATATTTGCATGACTGAGACCTAAACCTGAAAGCTTTGTAACCTTTCCCATGGTGATTCAATAAATAAAAAAAAAAGATAAAAAAAAAATAAAATAAAGTCCCTGCATTCAAAATTTAAGTACAGGGACAGGAAGATAGCTCAAAGGGCTTCCAGCATGTGCTTAGCATGCCCAAGGCTGTGCCCAGAACTGCATGGTGCCCCCGCACTAAGAAAGTGGTAGTTTCTGAACACTGTCAGAAATGGTCCAAAAACACCAAAAAAAAAAAAAAAAAGAGCCAAACATGGCCCAAAGGTCTGGGATACATGTTTTGTGAGCATAAGTTTTCCCTTCACCCCAGTTTTTAGCAAGTACCACTAGAAGTGGTCAAAAAAAATTCATGCACATTAATTTTTCTCTCTTCCAAGCCTGACCCTTTGCGTATATCATACTGAGTCTCCCTCCTGCTAATTCCCACACATTCTGAACTCCAGCAGCCATTTCCAGCACCCTTCGAGTTTTCTGTTCGCCCCATTTTAAAATATGGACCTGTTCAGCTTTCTCAGCTTGAGACGCTCTTTGATAAAATTCTTACTCATCTACATGTTGTCACACAGGCCTGGACATGGCTTTCATAGAACTGTAACAAAATACCTGTTCCATCTGGGTGGCTTCAACAGTCACTGCTGAAGGCCAGACCCACAAGATCATACTCACTTGTTTCCTTCTTCTGAGGCCTTTCTCTGCAAAATGACCACTCGTTTAAAAAAATGTGGGGACTATTGGATCACACCTGGTTGTGCTCAGGGCTTACTCCTGGCTCTGCACTCAGGGATCACCCCTGGTGGGACTTGTGGTGTCAGGAACCAAACCTGGGTTGACTGCATGCAAGGCAGGCACCCTACCCACTACTTCCTGGCCTGACCACTTTCTTGCGATGTCATCACATGGGCACACACATGTCTTCATCCTTTTATAAGAAAGCCAGCTGCCTTCAACTTCATTTAGTGACCTCTTTAAGCCCCACTTCCATATTCAGTCTGAAATCCTGGGGGGCTGAAACTTCCAACATAGGAATATGGGGGGGGGTGCGGTGAAATCATACAAGGGGTAAGAGGTACTTGCCTGCAGCTGACCCAGGTTCAATCCCTGACATCCCAATATGAGCACTGCCAGGAGTGATTCCTGGAGCCAGGAGTAACCTCTGAGGATGGCCAGTGTGTGCCCCCCAGACACTCCAGCCTCTAATTGAGGACCGTTACTTGCTGAATGAAAAGTTCCTGTCCCATTTCTCAGCAGTGACTCTGCCACCCAGCCCAGCCTTGTCTCTTCCCCACCCCATTTCTGCACATGCTTCTCATCACAGCCATTCAGCAAAATGTGAGGCTTCTGGCCAAGATGAAATGAACTGCAAACAAGGGATGTTCTTCAGTAACTGGAGGCCTGGAGGTGACCTTTGCCATGGTGTGTCTCTTTGGATCAGTTATTCTCAGACCAATCTGGGGGCGTCAGGAGTATCTCAAACATTTCCAAGAAGGGCTTGCCCTTCCACCCATGTTCCCCCTTGAACACATATTCTCGCTTGTTTGTCTTTTTTTTCTTACTTCCTCTCTGGAAAAGCCTGTGTTCTCTCGCATACATACCTCTCTTTTTCCCTTCCCTCACATCTT